TATTATTATTAAATCGACCATGTTAGATAAACAGCTTTGTCAACGGAGATCACTGGGAGATGGGAGTATACTTGAGACGTGTGTGTGTTTGTGGGCATGTGCAGGGAAGTGTGTTTGTTTGTACATGCTGAGATATGGGAGAAGAAACTGTGTATGTGCGTGCATGCATGCCATCAATTCCATCAATTATTTCTACAGTATAGTGTGCAGACTTCCAAGAAAAGCAAAGGGGTGAAGAACCCACTTTCCCAAGGCTCCCACTTTCCATTTGATGATGTACAAAAGTGCTTACCATATGTATTACCCAGATCACATGCCTGCCTCTCATGTGACACTCATCGAGAAGTGATGCTGATATTGATGGAGCCACAAGTTCTAGGAACCTTTACAATCATCTTTGGGATGTTGATCTACTACCACAGTGATGAAAGCCATTTCCCTACAGCTGTCACACCATAGAAGCATGAATAGGGGGTGTCAATCAATAGAATGTTTGTTAATTTAGTTACTGCATTTCTTTCCTCCTGATATTACAACACAGACAGACAGGTAGACGTATTTACAGGTCTTTAACTTCTATGCAGAGGTGTAGAAATGGGCAACCAAATGACTCCCCTATGAGGAAAAAAGTTACAATGTTCAAGGTAATTTAGCTCAGAGGGGAAGGGGGTTGAATAAGGAGAGACATGACAGTTGTGGACAAAGCAGACAAGGAGAATCTTTTCCCCCTGTAATGCTAGAACCACTGGAGCTGAGTGAATTCAAGGTACCTCTTCACACAGTACATAAACAAGTAGAATTCACTGGCACAGGATATAGTAGTGACAGGTGTCAAACATGAACAGCTTTGAAAAGGGAATTAAATAAATTAATAGGAGTGAAGGCCATCAATGGCCACTAGCCATACATCACTTCCAGTACCAGAAAACCTCCCCCTATATCAGGTGCTGAGGAATGTGACATGGCGGATGCTGCTGCCTTGACAATAACTTGCTATTTTTAAAAGACATAATATCCTTTTAAACAGAGGAAGAATGATGTTCAATATACAAAAATGTATGAAAAACCATACTGGGTCTACTCAAAGGCTTCCACAGTTCCACTTTCTTAATGTCTCAACCTTCTAAATGTCAAGGCAGGTTTGTTGGGGTCCCATATACAAATGGATGGCCATTGTGGGGGTAAGAAAGTTGAATTGTGGAAGCCTTTGAGCAGACCCAGTATGGTTTTTCTTACATTTTTGTATACTGAAAATCATTCTTCCTTTGTTTAAAGGGATATTATGCCTTTCAAAAATAGCAAGTTATTGATTTTCAACATAAACATTTTTAAAATGAATCTTCATTTCTGCACAAACATATTTCTCTAAATACAACAACCAGCAACAAATTATACCTAAGGAATCTTGTAAAACTGTGTTTGATTTTTAAGGTGACTTCCAACCATCTCCTCTTTACAGATCAATCTAACTTTCACCAACTAACCAGCCTATACTACCCAAGTTTAATCCAAGTTTTCCTCTCCCAGTCAGCCCTCCATTCCACAGCTCAGTCCCACAGACCATTTGCTGCTGTAGAAATTCACAGTGGGTACTTACCTTCTGTCTACCTTTAGGATAATGCAAGGACAGATGGCAAGAACTCCAGGGTCAGTGTTGCCAAATGAAAAGGAACTCATGTGCAAACAACATCGATATCAAGGGACTAGTCCTACCAAGCCATTTGTATATGCACAAACACATGCGCGTGCATGCAGGCACATACACAGAAATATGACTTTGGGACAAGTGATAAATGAATCAAGATGCTTTGTTAACAAAATCCAGCTGTATAGTGATAAAATGGAGATGTTACTGAATGCATCCTGCTCCGCAAAAATTAAACATTTATATTGTCCCTATAAATTGTTCCAAGTCATTACTCAGGGGCTGGACCAAGACATTGTGCTGCCTGAGATGCAGCAAAGCCATGTGTGAGACTGGACAAGTCATTCTGGTATAGAAGATCCTACAAGAAAATCACCTCCTCTTCAGCAGTAAAAACAGAACAATCATAAGGTAATGCGTGGCCATCCTTTCCATGGCACCCAGAATTAGTCCTCAGAGGCAGCTGCCCCAATCTGCCCAACAGTAAAAGATGGGTCCTGGTAGCACAGCATTTATTTAAAGCTTCCCAGCTCTCCAGCCAGCACAGTCTGATTTGGGATTTTAGTTCTTTCATCCATTCATCGTTTGTTTAAGAATGGGTACCAACTCTGATACAAAGAGAGGAGAAACTTGGCTTTAAGACTTCTTTTGCTGTCATTGTGCTCTGAGGTTAAAAAATTGGGGAGGGGGTGTTTCCAGAAAAAAAGTGTGACTCAACAAGCTGGGTGTAGCTTATGGCAAAGGCAGTTATTGAAATTAACATGAAGAGGGTCACACACACTAAAAACAATGATAATAAATACATCCCCCCATTTCCTATAATCTTAAATTGAAATTGCAATGAAATACGTTTTTCTCGCATACTTTCTCTGTTTCTCTCTCTCCCCACCACCGGCACCACCTCCGTCAGAACTATGACTGACAGTTGTCACCCCATGGTGTTCACTCACAGTATGTCCTGCTTACTCATAGTAATATAAAAACATTGTTTTGTTTTTGTTTGTTGGAATACGGCTCCTAGAACCCTCCGGTTGCCATGCTGGTTGGGGGACTCAAGGAGCAGTAGTCCAAGAAAAATACCTTGTTAAAGCAGTGCCCCTACTGTGATGACTGTATTTTAAATTGGTTGAGCTCCAGTGTCAGGTTTGTTTAAAAAAAAAAAAAAAAAACTTATTAAAGCAGTGCCCCTACTGTAACGACTGTATCTTAAATTGGTTGAGCTCCAGTGTTAGGTTTGCTTTTTAAAAAACAAGTATAGGAAGGTTCCAGCATTTCCTCTCTGACAAGTGCTCTTAATTAGGATCCACCCTTGATGGAAAGTTCAGATTGATCTCTTCTGTCTGTACTGGAAAGGGTTCCCTGGTCCTTTACCTTCAGTGAATGTTCCCGCTGTCACTTTAAAGGATGGCGACACCCGATGGATCACTTCAGTGACGTTCCCCACCAAGGGGTGAATTGCACAGAAAGTGTTTGCGTTGCTCATGGGAAGCCAGTCTAATCAAAGCAGTCGGCACTTATTGGACTCTTCATGTCCCCCATCTTCTTTCAACCTTTTTGGCAACTGGTGGAAGAAAGCCAGGCTTTGAGTGGTTTCCATTCTGCATCCTGACATCTTCCTTCTGCAACCTGAAGGACTTGAGGAAGGAGATGTCATTTGACATTTGGACCAAGGGTGTCAGAGGGAAGAATTAAACCAGAGCTGATGCCTACTGACATCTTTAGCTTTGGCTTCACCCACTGATTTGCCTGTTTCATATTCAAAGTGCCCGGCCAAGATTTTCTAGGCACCCCTTTCTGAATGGTCCTCCCCACACTAGCCATGCCACCCATTTCCTTGCCCCGCCTCCGGGCCCAGTCTACACAAGCTCCCAGAGGACAAGCTGAGGCTGAGGAAAAATTTTTTGACTACAACTCCATGAGTTCCTAGATGGGGATTCTGGGTAGTTGTAGTCCAGAAATCTAACTTTTCCAAACTATAAGGAGAGTCCTGCTATATTCATTCATTCATACTATTTCGTTACTCCGACTGCCTGTGTACTTGACATGCAGTAATGGTGAGAAAGAGTTGGATTGGAGGTTCAAGGGGATTTCAGAGGGCAGTGATGGACTCCTTCAGGTGGAGCTGTGGGCATCGACTGGCGGCACAAATCCACTTTGTTGCTTATAACACAGGATCTCCCTCTGGTGCCAGGATATGAAAATGAATTTTGGTGTGGATGGTCAGGGCCAGCCCAAGGTATGTGGCTGCCTGGGCCAATGAAGAAGAAGAAAAACCCATTCCTCCATTCCATGGCTAACAGCCAACTGGATCCTGGACCACCTACAATGGCTGCAGGTTGATATAGGAGTCACCATGCAGATCTGCTGATCTATAAGCCTCATGGCATGGTGGTTAAACTGCAGTACTGCAGGCAAGCCTCTGCTCTTGACCTGAGTTCAATCCCAAGAGATTCAAGGTTGGCTCATCCTTCCATCTTACTGCATCAACAAAATGAGTACCCAGATCACTAGTGGACAAAGTTTTATTCGCATAATTATATTGTATACCTCTCAGAGAATGCTTGAGCGCTTTGGGATGATATGTGAGTTAAAAGCACAAAGAAACAATCAAACAGATGGTCTTTCTTTTAACATCTTGCTTCTGCCACCTCCCAATATCAGCTGCTTGAAGCAAACATGACAGGGCTAAGCCTTATGTTTGATCAATCCCCTTGACAAAGATCATGTTGTATCTCTCAAAAAATATTTCAGGAGAGGCTAGACGTCATTGGTAAATCCCATGCGTTGTACACAGAAGGCCCCAACATCTCCCAAAAGAATCCTGGATTAAACCCTGGGGAAATACTGCCAAGAAGTCCTCCCAGGGCTCAGATGGAACAATGGTCTGAAGCAGTATAAGCTAGCTTCTTATGAATTTAGCAGAGTTTTCAGGTTAGCTCCAATTTAGAATATGATATTTTGTAATGTAGCATCAACCTTATTGGAGTTAAACCTCCTCCATGTTTCAGATTCAAGGCCCAGGACCATTACATATTTTTTTCGCACAGAGCTTTTCAGCTTCTTGGCCAGTGAACCAGAAGGGGGGGAGTGGGCAGAGACATGGATATTTGGAACATTATAACACAGATACTTGCAGTTCCTTTTAGTCAGGTGCCAGGTGCTGCACAGAACCTCAACAAGATTTATTTCTTCTCCAGGGATCTGTCAGTTTACCTATGATAGATAAGAAAAGTGCAGAGAGCAATGAGAGATTCACAGTGAGTGATGGGGGAAGGCATAATTAAGTCAGAAGGCAAACAGAGGAATCAGAAATGCCCAAGCATTTCTGATGAAGGCAATGTCTTTGTTAAAGAAATAGCATGCTGCACAGCGTTCATGAAGTGGAACATAAAATTCAAGCTCACTTTGAGCATTTTTGTGAATTTATGCTGGCATAAAGGATAATGGATATTTGGCAAAGTCTAACGAGAGAGTGGAGGGGAGCTGTTACTTGATGCATTAACCTTTCACCTCAGAAAATCCATTTCCACATCCTAAGCAAATTGCTAATTAAAATGAGCTTGGCAGGGCTTCATATCTCTGCCTATGATTAACTAGCTACATGACAGAACTAACCACACATTGTTCCGTTGGTACCGATTAGCAAACCTGGATTCTGTTTGCTCCACCCTAGCACTTCCATTAAACTTGAATGGAATGTTATTGTTGCACAAAGTCAATTACAGACACTTATTGAAAGGCTGATACTTGTGATATCACTGGTTAGGAGCCATACATTCTCTTCTCATATTTGTTCATTTGTTCATTCATTCATTCATTCAACCTCTTTCTTCAGGTTCTTATTTTCAGAACAACTCAGGCATGGATGTCTTCATGTAGCCCTCAAAGCCACCCACAGTAGAACAGTAGCACAGTGTGCCCCACTTCCCCAAAGCGATGTCCTGGTCAAACTAGAAACTTCCATGCATATGTACAATGTTTTCAAGACTCAATGATGTCCATCTGCTGGGGAAAAGATGCTAAGGACACAGTGGATCCCCACAGATGCATTCCCTCCAAGCACATTTGAAGTCTGCTGTGGAAGGCTGTTGGGCATTCTTGAGCCAGTTTGTAGTTATTGGAGTGTAGGGAATTGGAGAGGAAGAGGGCATTCCATTCCGCACATGGACAGCCACTTATGTAATATTGACATGGCAATAAGGATCTGGATGCGTCATCTGCAGATCTAACTGCTCTTGAAGCAGTACACCACTCTTGTGTACACCATAAGAGTGGTGTACACAAAGCAATAGCAACTCTTGAGTAAAATGTGGCATCTCCACAGCATGACACATCTCGCCAACAGGAATAATAAAACAGCACAGATAAATCATCATTTGGAAAGCATTACAACTTCAATCTATGTGTGAAAAAAATGACTTACGTACCTGTTGACCAGACCCAACAATGTATCTCCCTTGATAGAAGGACTGCCATCAGTAGAACTGGGGGAACAACTCCCCCTTCACGCATACATGCCCTAAATGTTTGCAAAGGATGTCTGGATAATCACACAGAAAAGATTTTTGGATGGCTGAGAGGGCTGCGGAAGAAAGAAGAGAAGAAAAAGATCCCAGAGGCATGCTAGCACAATACATATTGTATTTTGGTCTATGTGTTAAAACTGATAACTACACATTGTAGCAGAAGCAGCAATAGTAGATCTAAAATGATACCTCCAAGTCCTAAAGAATTCATCACATAAACATGTAAAATCTAAAACAGAGAGAAAGTAAGCTTTATGTGTTTGTGTCTCATCTAAAGCCATGTTCTTACTGTGAAAAGTTGAATATAGCTGCCATTTTCTTACCATCTCATTTTCCCCCAACATAGATTTGAATAAATGTTGTAAGTTCACACAGGAACACAATACACTAGATTGTCCAAAGCACATGATTCAAGACAGTTTATTTCTTTTTCTCTCTCAACCACCACTCTTTCTATCCTAGATCAAAACTGTATGACTCTGTGATCATCTGCAAGTGTTCTAGATTTTTCCACTATCAGAAACAACAAAACAGACACAAAGATGCCAATTCTAGAGAAAGCCGCAGAGAAGAAGGAGAAAGAAGCTCAGAGCCAAGATGAAATTGTGAGTCACTGTTTTGGGGAAATAACATGAAGTTCAAATATTGATTAAGGAACAAGAGCTACGTGGAAGTCGGGGTTGGAGAGCAGGGATTCCAAGCACCAGAACTGACAATGGCTTTCTTCATGCCAAATGCACAATTGCATAGATGCATGAATTTGCTGTTTGAAAAATGGAAGGATGTGTGAATGAGAATAAAAACTCCAGTGTGGAATATACAAAAATAAAGGCTGTCTATTATGAAGGTATCATTTTTTAAAACTAATCTGCATTTTACAGAGTTATCCAAAGCATGTTTAACCTAGAAGTACCTCTCACTGGATTAAATTGGCTTTCCTCTCCTCTTTAATATTGCAAACAATGTTCTGAGCAAATGTTACTATTCCTTGCTTTAAAAAAAGCAATTACATTTGTTTTCCATTTCTTTTTGTAAATTCCACCCAGAATTTTAAATTAGTTTTACCCATGCTTCGGCCCTTAGTGTTACTTTTATTGTTACTGTTACTACAATGATGATGATGATGATGATCCTGCATTTCTTGTGAGGGAGAGGAGTGTCATGAGCAAGTATAGTAGCAAGAGAGTTCTCATTGCAGTTGTTGCAAAAGTGAGGATCACATGACTTCCACTTAGACAATGAGGTCCTGGGTGTCTCCATGCACAGGTGCCAAAAATGTTGAACGGCTTGAGCTTTCGTCCATTAAAAAAGAAATTTGACCCTATAGAACCAAAGGCAAAAGAATGCATGTTGGCCAATTTCCTTTCTACACATCTACATCAGAGACTGCCCTCTACAGAATTTCAACTGTTGAAAGAAACACCATATAATGTACTTAACAGATTATACAATAATGTGAAACACAATACAATAAATGTATTAATTGCATCTAATATAAATAATGTAATTATTTATAACTCCAACATCAAGTAATATATAGCAAATAGTACAGTAAAGTATTTGTACACAAATGTGAAGACCTAAGTAGAGCATTTAACACCGCTCTCACGAAACATTAAAACCATATCCACTTATTGATTACTTGGTATCTCATTGATTAGGTGTTACCCAAACTTCCAGTCCCACCGCTGCAACAGACATTGCAGATGTACCTTCAGTGCATGAAACATTTGGTGCCAGAGGAACAATATAAGAAAACAAAAGTCATAGTAGAAAAGTTTGGAGCACCAGGAGGCCAAGGAGAATTCCTACAGCAAAAGCTGCTGGAGAGGCGTGAAAAAACGAGTAACTGGGTAAAAATGATTATTTTGTTTCAAATGTTTTTATCATGCATAGGTTAATAAAATGCTGCCTGGTTATATTTAATTCTTCATCCTCCTTCAATCATTCCCTCTGGGATTGGCTAAGTTGTCCTGGCATCAGGAACCTTTGGCTACAGAGAAAAACTGTCCCACAGTGCTACTTTTGTGAGGAAAATGGAAGCCTCCACAAGATATGGATTATTCCTGGCGGAGTGGGAAAGCAGAAATATGGGGAAGAACATGTAGTCCAGAGGCCAGCTGGATGAATGAGGACATGAGGAAATATGAGCAAATAGTGGCGCTATGAGGAAATAATGACTAGAAGAGGCAAAGGCTGGAACAAAGGAAAATATGGCAGCAAACAGGAAGGCCCAAAGAGAAAGTAGGGCTACGAGAATAGCATTCTACTTCCAGCTATTTTTCTAGGGTTGCAGGTTAATGAAGCTTTTTTACATGGTAAACTTTTCTGAAAGAGAAATAGTTATGGCAGGGTGGTGATGTTGGCCATTTGGTTACCAATGCAGGTATTGCAAGCTGCAGATGGAGTCTAACTGACTAAAATTGTTTTTGACTATGATTGTGATGTTTGATTGTTATTTAATGATATTTTATGATTTTGTAAGCCGTCCCGAGTAGACGCTGGCTGGGGGGGGGGGAAGAGGTATACATCGAAGGAATAAATAAATAAAATAAATAAAATGAAGCAATGTGTTTTTCAAACAAAGTCACTCTGAGATGCCCAATCCCAGATAGCCCTTAGTATTCATGCCAGGCAGGAGTATCAAGTCTCTCAGTACACTGCGTAGCTAGCTGTGCGTGTATCATCTCGGAAGGAGGCAAAGGTGTGGGTAAAGTACTTGGTTCAGACTTAGCCCGGCTGAAGGTCAGGTAGTGGTGGAGCTGGAGGAAGAACTTCCCCAGACTTCCAAGAATTCCTAAACCCAGGAAGTAAATAAACACAAATAGAGAATGTTCAGACAGGCCAGTCCAGCTCCAGTTAAGAAAATACTTAGTACCTCAGAGGAGAGGCTATTCCCAATCTCATCAAATCACCCACCTTGTTCTCTGGGGACAAAGTGAGCGTGCATTTTGTTTCGCACTCTGGCCAGTTTTCTACTGAGGTTTCACTAAAATACCACCAGCATAGTAACACGGGAGGCTACCACTTGCACAAGCGTTGCGGTTGCTCAAGCAATGGGAGGCTTTTCTTCTGGCAGTCACCACTTGTACAATGACAACACTTACACAAACAGTGTGGTTCCACTTTACTATGCTGGTGGAACATTCTGCCCCACAGAAGTTTCAGCAGGTTACTGGTTTCTTAAAATTAAATAAACTGGGTTATATGTGCCCCTAGTTCTCCAGCTAATGCATATGAATATAATACCACACAGCAGATTAATAGGGAGGGAGAACAGTAATCAAGATCCATAATGATCTACAAGAGTTGTGGGATTCCCCCCCCCCCGTTTCTTCCTGTTTAGAGAGGTTGTTAAATGTTAAAAAGAAGCCACCAATGATTGATATAAAACTGGTCTTTTTTCTGAGTGTGGTTTTGACTCTGACACTCTAGGGAATGTATTGGAAGGTTTTTATTTACAGCGGCTGTTCTTACAGCAATGAAAAACATACTCTCAAAGGAACTGTATTTCAGCTGATGCATAAAAATTTTTTAAAACCAGAGAAATAAGGACAGAAGACGTGTCTTGCATATTTTGCCTATGCAGTCATTTATGACTATTTTTTGTAGGTTTTAAACTACTGGCTGGATGACATGTACCTCAACAACCGACTGGCTCTTCCGGTCAATTCCAGCCCGGCAATTATCTTTGCTCACCAACAATTCCAAGATGCAAACGATCAGCTAAGGTAAAGTATCTGCAGACTGCACTGAATAAGAGGATTCTTTCCATGTTCTGTTGTGGTCATCTAATTATCTGGGGGCAGAGTGTAGGATGGAAACCCCATCCCTTAAATCACAAGATTCCTTCCTTCCTTCCTTTGTACATTCCTGTTCTGTCCAATAGTCAAAGTTTGCTGCAGAGTTCACAAAACAGAGCATAAAGCCACAAAATATAAGAGCATAGAAAATAGCATTTACAATAAAATTCAAAAGAGGTGTCAAATGAAAACAAAGCAGAATTAACAACAGGGGACAGCAACAGAACAAATCTGACTATTTATCTCACATGTTTGATCTTTAATATCACAGTACTCCAATCAAATTTAACTGATACAATTACTTACATATTTTATTATTGCTTCAAAGCCAGTCAGGCTGTACTCACAAACAGAAATTGAAATGACTCTTTAAAGTGGTTAACATCTCATATGTAATAGTTAACATCTAATATATAAATAGGTATGGACAATGGGGTAAATAACAAAATAATTATTATTCTCAAACAAGGATCAAATAGTAAGGTTAACTAATGGATATTGTGAACTTGCTAGTGAGTTCTGTCTTTCCATAGCCCATTTAATAAACTTGACAATTCAATAGGTCATATAACAGTCTGTGTCAGCAAGCAAAATTAGAATTGTACATAGAGGGGAATTGTTCCTGATGCCAATAGTTAAGGTTTCATATATTGATCCCTCAAATCATCATACAGAGGACATTCCATTCAAAAATATACCACGCTCTCCATCTTAGAGCATCTTGCTGGGCAGTATCTACTTGCATGAAAGTGGTCCATATAACATCCCTGAATCTCTTTCAACTGCAGAGAGTTCAATCTGCATTTGGTCAAGGGCTGTCTCATCTCATGTGAGTTAATAAAGAACAAATATGGGGGAACCGTTCCAAATGGGAAAGAAAAGTCATTATATCTTGTATCGGAGTGACAACGAGCTATAGACGCCATGGTAGCTGGATATTAACACCATGCAGTCTTTTAATAATGTCTTCTTGGGCAGCCTTAGATATCCTTTTGTGAAGGAAGACTAGAGAACAGCCCAGCTTAGTGCAGATATCTTAGCTGCCCAGAAGTTCCTTCCTATTTCTTCACAGACCAATAAAATGGGGAGGGAGGCCATCTAAAATAACATCTTGATCTGAAACAAAATGGCTGCTTTCTTGGCAAGAAGTACCTATTGAATAGCATAATGTCTCAGGTTGAACTATATCCTTGGAGGTAGATCTTGATACCCCTAGTGGTCTGGTTAGAAATTTGTGTTGGACAAATTCCATTACTGTGATATTTGAAAGAGCCCATACAGGGGCTCCATAGAGCATCCAGGGGAGCAGTTTATCCTTATACTGCTGTTTTAAAGATGCCACAATTTTCCCACCTGGTCCAGAAGAGAAGAAATAAATAGTATTGGCAGATACCTCAACTGTCAAAACTACAGATTTTAAGTGATCTGACCCTGTCCCTGAACTTTTAAGTGTTACTCCAAGGTATTTATATAAATTGGTCTGCTTGAGCAACTGCTTATTCAACTGTCATCCGCACTTCTTCCTTCTTTTCTCAAAAAATTAAATGTTGGGTTTGGTGTTATTAACCTGGTCATATTCCTTGGTGTAATAAGTGCCTAAGGCCCTTTAGTCTTCACATCCCCACATGAATATGTGAAAACATTTAATGGATGCAATTACTTTTAAAGCCCACTTCAGAGCAAGTAGTCTAACTGTGGTTGTTGGAGAGCAAAGCATGTAGAAAAAGTCCAAAGAATGGTTCTATATTTCATCATGTGGAAATAGACGTCAAAGGTCATGCATTTCACATATACATTTGCCATATTATAGAGACATAAAATGACAGTGTTCTAGCAGACAGAACATATGTGAAACTGCTTCTACTGCTTATGTCATGCTTTTCTCCAACACACAGTCTTCAGGGAGATGGTGCCCAATGAGAGAACAGCTTTGCCTTAGCTACAGTTACAACTCGTTGAACTGTAACAAAGCCTGACATGCCAATAGATCCAATATGAGATACAGTACTTGCACTGCAAAGGCAAACAGTCCTGTGCTTCAGAGCTTCAGAGGAACAAAGGAGATAGCAGAAGGGGAAAGCAGTGGACATCCAGAAAAGGTGTGCAGTATTCAAAGCCCGTTGTAGACACTGTCTGTTTTGATGATTAGAATAGTGGGTGGTTAGTGGAAAGAACTAATTCAATTTCCCACACATCATCTTTCTACGTTACTACAGAGATAAAGATCCGGTTAGTCCAAACCAACTGGATGTGCCCCTTCTTTAGTCATGCTTAGAATCAACACCCAAAACAAATGGCCAAAATCCTGTTGTGTATTTACGCCTACATAACGTGAAGTTGTAGAAGCAGTTGTGAAATTCTCATGGAGGAAGTAGCTGTATCCAGCAAATGGTTCCATAGGTAGTGTTGCACAGAAATTCTGTGATCAGTTGTGCAGCCAAGCACACAATGCAGACTGGCTGGGTATAGCCTCTTGCAACTTCTGCAGGTGTAATTTTACATGAAGCCAACTACAATAAGTCAGTCTTGACTATCTTAACTTCCACCAGTTCCTTCTGATGTACTCTAAAGCATGACTTCTTTTGCGTGAGAGATTTTTTGGACTACATCTCACAGCATCCTATGTTTAGGGGATTCTGGAAGCTACAGTTTAAAAAAAAAACAGTAACTAATATATTATCATCCAAAATATCCCCTTAAGAAACTAGGATAACTTTTTTATGCTGTGAGATATTTATCTAATAATCTTTACACCTTGAACCTTATATTTAATCATTTGTCTTAGAGCTGTGCAGATTTGTGTTGTTAGGCTGCAACCCATGCTCCCTGGAGAATTGTGGGGTTGTTGTCCAAAACCTGTTGCAGAGTTTTTGATTTTTGGCTAAAAATCTCTACCTGCACTGCAGTGGGCACATACAGAGCACAATTAGCTTCAGGTTCCCCCGTTCAGTCCATCACTTTTTTTCTCATTAACTGGAAGGGACTCTATGGATCATCAAGTCCAACCCCTGTCAAGGAGGCACAACGGGGAATCAAACTCCCAACCTCTGGCTCCATAGTCCGATGCCTGGAACATTGAGTTATCCAGCAGTTCAATCATTCCAGCTGTCTGTTGTGTTCCTGGACATACATGAGTACATATTCATGTGTACATCCAGGTGCGTGACAGATGACAAGAAAATTATAAAAACTGGTGGTGCAATTTCTTTACAATATTACACATTAGGATTTTTGGGCACAAAGCACAAATGCCATTTTTAAAAATGTTTTATAAGCTAGGCAGTCTGTATACTAATCAGAATTATTCTGTTTTGCATAGATAAGGCACAGAGACTTAACACAAGAGCCACCTAATCTGAAACTGACATACTTCCTCTCATTAAAATGAATAGCTTCATTGTGACAGTTGTTTTCCAGACAAGTGTGTTTTGCATCTCTTCAAAGCGGACAGTTGTGTGACAAAACAAAAAGAAAAAAAACCTCTCCTCACAGATAAGAACACTGTTTAGAAACTGGGAGAATGGAGTAGTTGAGGCAGGGGAAATGGGAAAGTTATTGTCCAGCTCATAAGCAAAAAAAATGTCCAGATATTAATTAATTTAAAAAGCTATTTGGAGACCTACTTCCCAAGCCAAACTAGACATGATGGCAGATATGTATTTCTTTTTAAATGCTCTCCCCGTTGGCATCTAAATCAGAGTGAACAGAGCCTTGGAAGGGAACATTACAATCTCAAAAAGTAGCTTTGCCAAGCTGTGGCCTCAGGTAGCAAAAGGTCTTACGCCAGGCCTGGCCCACCTGTATTTGAGTCATTCTATGCTTGATGCATGCTCCTTCTCTCTTTCACTTACAGGTTTGCTGCAAATCTCATTTCTGGAGTTCTTGATTATAAAGCTCTGCTGGACACGTAAGCCATCTGGATTTTTCTGTGATGAGAATAAGGGATTCATTGGGGCATAAAGGACACATAGAGAGGTCCTTTTAAGACCCTATTTTAAATTTAAGGACCTATTTAAACCACCCAAGTTTTTAAAATTACTTTCCCATGCCCTGGAAATTGTGCTATCCTATCTGAAAGAAACTTGAAGCATTAGCCGGCTTCTCTGTAGACTACCCTCTCTTATATAATCTGTCTAGAGCTCAATCTAGAACAATGGTTCCCCAGCTTAACCCTACAATATCTTGAGCACTGTGCTAGGGTTTCCGGGATTTGAAGTCATGAACACCCAGAGGACCCAAAATTGAGAACCACTACTATAATACATATGAAAAACAAGAGAATAACAGCTCTGTTGCTCTCAATAGACCTTTTCAGAACTTTTGAGGCATACTTCCTAGTTTGAGAGGCTGCTGAAGATGCTTCTCTTTCAAGAAGCCTTCGAAGGCAGCCTCTTTTGAATTTTCCTCCCCTGCCCCCCTGCTCCAATGTCTTGCATCAAGAGGGTTCTGCCGATTTTTCAAGCATTTTATACATTTTTCTGATTTATATAATGACCCAGAATAATGTTGTGCATAAATGGGGCAGTAGACATGTCCAATCAATCAATCAATCAATCAATCAATCAATCAATCAATCAATCAATCAATCAATCAATCAATCAATCAATCAATCAATCAATCAATCAATCAATCATGTCACAACACCTGGGCACTGTCCCTTTTAGAGATGAAATGCCAGACTTTGCTCTCTCAAAGAACAACAGTTCCTAGACTTCCTTGAAGAGGAAACCATACCATTTAAATGACTGATACCATAGTGTAGTAGACAAACAGCTAGCTAAATAGCACCTCTGCCAGATAAGAAATTAAAATTGGCTGTAAAGTGTCGTGATGGCATATTTGAAGGCCCAGGATAGGTCTTAATTTTATATAAATAAATGGACTAAACACAGACAGATTTGGTGACTTTCTCATCATACTGTTGCACATCCAAAGTGCATCTACTCAATATATTGTCATCCTTTATGTGCGTTTATCCACAGCAACAAAACTTGTTGCCCACAGTAGCACCTAGTAGTTCACATTTTTGAGATTTTTTATTGTAACTCAGTCATTCAAATACATTCCTTCAGAAATAGTTGCTCTATATCCATACTGAGGAGAGATCTCACCACTGCCTGAAGACTAGACAGATGGCCTTCACCCTTCTCTTTGTCACCAAGAAGCTAATCCCTGTTTGTTTTATTAAAAATAAACCTTTATAGCCTTGTTTTGTTGTTGTTGTGGATTGTCAAGTCATGTGTGCCTTACAGCACACCTTGTAGGGTTTTCAAGGTGGTTGGCCTGTGCAATTAGTTTCCATGACCAAGAAAGGATTTAAACCCAGGTCTGCTGAGTCCTAGTCCAACATTTGAATTACTACACCATAATGGCTCTCACACAACCCTGTTTTTGTTCACATAAAACCTGGGTATCATTTAGTTACATTCTCAAGTTGGCTAGATCCACCACCTAAGCCATCTCAGCAGACCCCAGAAGTTTGTCAAAAGATGGGATGGGCCATTAGATATGATCTGGTGTTTGGAGAAAAGAGCAACTGTGGGGTGTACAGAAACCACAGCTCAAAACATTACATTTTAAAAAGGAACTAATTGCAATTAGGCACTACTTCTCAAGTTACTATTGCTGTTACTGTTCCACTGATTGCACAACTCATTTGTTATTTTGTGCATTGCTAGTCAATCAAGATCTCAAATCATGTTTAACCAGTTTCTTTTCTGCCCTGCTACAAAAAGTGTCAAAAGTTGCAGACGTGAATCAGTCTACCCAATATTTTTTCTTATATTTGCTCAATATTTACATAGCTCTGTATCTGTTTTTATTGTCATAGCATTTGCCAGATCTTGGGAGCTGAACATCAAACAAAGCATACAGTTTCCTACTGACAATTTACACTTTTGTAAGGAAAATCAGACAAGTAACAGTAGCAAATTGCTGCTCATTAGTAAGGTGCTGGTTACATTCCTGGGTGCATGCCCAGTCACACAGTCAGGCATGCATCCGGGAACACAACTAACATCTCTTCAATGAGCAACAGTTTGTTGCCACAATATACATAGTTTCCTTCTGCAAGCATAAATCACCAGTAGGTTTCTGGCCATTGTTTTTCAACCTCCCTCCTTCCACATGTTTTGGTCTTCAAGTCCTTTATCCCCTTACCAGCTAAAGCTTCTGGGAGTTGAAGTTCAACATATCTGGAAGATCAACAAAAACCACCAGCTAGACAGTTAATTCCGCCCAGCACTACAGAGACCCAGACCTTCCCTCTCTCCTCACAGGAGATCCCAGTCCTGCTGGAGAGTGGGGCATCTACAGTCCATGACAACTCATTCATATTTTCAGTAGCGGGATCAGAAGTTCAAGTGGAATTTATCCAAAGAGAATGGTGGGGAAAAGAATGCATGCTTGAGTCCTTATTTTGTATCCTCAACTACTTGCATCTTCAGTGCTCATCTAATGAATGTAAACAGTTGTATAATATGTTTAGATAGGTATGTCAAGAATCACACATTTCAAATTTTGTATGGGAAACCATTTATTTCCCTTGTAATCTCATTTTGGTATTATTCTAGCTGTGTTGTGCATCTAATCTAATTGCAAAGAGAACAAAGGTCAGATTAGATTTCTTTTCCCTTCTGTCTACTTCTTTCTTTTCTATCTCTCTCTCTCTCTCTCTCTCCCTTGCTTTGTTTCTCTTATTCTGTCCCTCCAGCCATGCTATACCTGTTGATTTTGCTCGTGGACAGCTGTCTGGTCATCCTCTCTGTATGAAGCAATACTATGGACTCTTTTCTTCCTATCGTCTTCCAGGACATACCAAAGATACCCTTGTGGCCCAGAAAAGCAATATCATGCCAGAACCAGAACATATAATTGTTGCTTGTAACAATCAGGTGTGTGAACAGAAATCTTCTACAAACCTTTCCGAACGAGAGCCAGTTTCAGTTTGCTTCTGAGGTAACCAGATATTTTCATGCAGAAACAAAACAAAAATGAAAAAAATAAGGAAGGCAAAATATTGTGGCACCTTAAAGTCTATCTGCTATATTTTAATATGAGCTTTTGTGGACAAGTCCACTTCTTCAGACTATGAAAATTAACATTAAAATATAGTAGTTGGGTCTTTAAGTTGCCGCAATGTATTTGTCTTCTTAATTTTTTTCTTTTCTGTTTTGTCTTTGCCTGACATGCTAGCACAGACTAACATGGCTACCTCTTATAAAACTACAGATATTTTTCAATAAATATTCTTTTTTGCCTCTATGTTTACAACCATGAGCAGAATCTTCTTGAAAACATGATTCTGATAAGCCCGTTTGATCAGGAAGGAGTTAAAAATTTGCCAAGAGTTAGCTACTTTCATTTTGATTGATAGGATGAAAAATTCAGATTGCACCAGGTGTGGAGTTGATTCCCCCTTTGAAAACTTATGTGATGTCACTGTTTGGTTTCAAAAATCCTAAGAGAATGTTTACTGAAGATACATGGCAAAATATCCCCTGTTCTGAAAGACTATTAGTCCATTACTTTCTTTACAGTAAATCTGTTTAAAAAGAGAAAAAGAAAAAAAACTCTACAGAAAACCTGTCTCGTCAATCTGTTTTTGTAATCTTTCTCTCTAAATATCTTCCCCTCACCTACAAATGTATACAATGTCTCATTTCACAAAGCTCTTGCTAACTAGTCTGTAGTACACATGCTCAGTCTTATAACAAAGTGGCTGCTTTTTCCTTTTGAAGGTGCTTTCCTGAGGATGAGTATTTCAGCCCCTGCAGCCTGGATCTTTCCAAATTAAATATAAAATAAAATAATGCAGGTGGGACCAACCATTCTTTTGAGATAAGCAAGATCTATTTTAAATCTGGATATGTTTATGCTCATTTAATTTCTGAACAAGGGAGGTAAAGCAGCTTTGTGTGGTTTTTTTTTAAATCATAACTTGAAAACTTTTGCCAAACTTTTCAAAATTTGGCACATAGCAAGAGCAACTGTCCAGCTACAACTACTCCAAATCTGGTACTGATCAGAAGCACAGAGCAACAGTTATAAGTTTTTGTTTGGGCTGCCCCTATTTTTAGAGTTGCATATAGAATGATTTAGTGGTGGCGCTGCGGGCTAAACCGCAGAAGCCTGTGCTGCAGGGTCAGAAGACCAAGCAGTCGTAAGATCGAATCCATGCGACAGAGTGAGTACCTGTCGCTTGTCCCAGCTCCCGCCAACCTAGCGGTTCGAAAGCATGCAAATGGAAGTAGATAAATAGGGACCACCTCGGTGGGAAGGTAACAGCGTTCCGTGTCTAAGTCGCACTGGCCATGTGACCACGAGGAAGATTGTCTTCGAACAAACGCTGGCTCTATGGCTTGGAAACGGGGATGAGCACCGCCCCCTAGAGTCGAACACGACTGGACAAAAATTGTCAATGGGAACCTTTACCTTTTATATAGAATGATTTGCTCTGCCAACACAAGATTGTTACTGTACTCTCATGCAGCAGTAATACAATTATCATGAAGCAAATTAAATATTTGGAGGGAAGACTCTTTAACTCATTACTCTCTTCCTAGAATCATTCCCTTGGGTTGCCACCACCCAGTTTTCCCACTAAACTAGCTCAGATATTAAAGATAATCATAGTTTGTGTGAGCAAAGGCCCATTGTGAAGGATTTCAGAGTAAAACTGACAGGTGAAGAAAATTGCTCTTAAAATGAAGAAGACTTTGCTGGATTGTACCACTTAGAACTGTAGCTAGGGCATTAGATATTTGGTTGCTCTCATGTCTAAACAGGAACAATATGTTCCCTGAGCAGCTTAGCCTTCTACTTGACATATTATCTCCCTATGCACAAGATGCTAGGGGAAGAATTGTATACACATGTGTGAAGAAGGGAGGTGAGCACAGCTTGTCCCCACCTCCAATGGCAGTACAGCTCAAGAAAAGCTTTGTTGTTGGTTCTTGCAAAATATATGATCGGGATCAGACACTATGAATTTATACAATAATATTTATTAGAAGGTTCATTGCGGTCCAGCCATTATTTACAACATTTCTTCTCATGTATTCTTCTTTCCCTGCAGTTTTTTGTTTTGGATGTTGTCATTAATTTCCGCCGTCTCAGTGAGGGGGATCTTTTCACCCAGTTACAGAAGATAGTCAAAATGTCAGAGAATGAAGAAGAGAGGCTGCCTCCAATTGGTCTCTTGACATCTGATGGGAGAACAGAGTGGGCTGATGCCAGAACAGTGCTGGTTGAAGGTCAGCAAGAGAAAAATCTAACCATTTCTGTATTTTTCCATATTTCCCCATCTTTGCATCCATTTTCAATACTGACGTCCAATTTAATTTGTTGATCAAATGTTGTTAACAATAGCCATAAAGCCCAGCTCACAACATAAATATTCAGAGCATTAAGCATACAACTCAAGCATACAAATATAAGGTTTCATAATCTTCCCATTATGCACTCATATAGAAAAAGCCTGTGGATGTCATATAATAGACCTGCATCTCACTCACTCACTCACTCTCTCTCACACACACACACACAGAGAGAGGGGGGGAAACACAGAGAGGTTTCAGATTGCAGTACTTTAGATTGTAGGACTGGGGTAATGGGGAGGAATGAAAACTTCCATAATTAAAATCCTCATTGAAATAAGTATCTTGTATAAGCAAAACTAGATGTCGGGAAGAGGATTCTAGTCTAGACATCCTCTTGACATGCTAGCTTTAAAAATATGAAACATTTTTGTTCTTAATATAGAAGAGCATCTAATCATTTGAGTCTCTACCTGCAATATGAAGTGGAAGCAGCTTTACTTCCTTAAAGGGCAGATGGATCAGTTCTGATTGATGTTAGTTTGGCAGATATTCAGTCAGAAGCCCATCCTGTCACTTTTCTGCATCAAGGTGTGAATCAAAACATATGAATTAAAACACATAAAAATCTGTTTTTTTATATGCAACTCCCCATTATCTACACATTACATGTGCTGGTTTCTCTTTAAAAATACAGACACATTTGTATGCGACTTTTGTGCTGAAAATTGCATTGAAAAATTCAGAGACATGCCCAGCTTGAAGGATAATTTTGTTCTGATCCATAAACATATCTGAGACATCTTCAGTGGGATGGGATATGATGGTTCAACGTTCCTTCCTTCAGGCTCATGTTCCTAGGGTCAACACCTCTTCAAGAAAGAGTGTTTCAAAACATGTCTTTGAAATCTGCACTTTGCAAGAGCTATCCAAGGTGCTGAACCTTATTCCTAAAAGGGTCACAAACTAATACCCAGAGTGGATTCACAGCACCCCAAAACTGTAGTCACCTGCCACTATGGATCTAGCTCGGGCTGCAATAAAATAAAGATCAGACCGACAGCTATAAAGAGGTACCCAGAACAAATTAGGCATTGGGGGCCCCAGACTTGGTTTCAGCTTTGTGGTTTTCAGCTTTTACCTACGTTATAGAGATGTAGGCAAAGTCATAAGTAGAGCAGGATGGCTGGCAATCTGAAATTTAGAGAGAGCAAAAATCATTGCCAGAAAGTTATGAACCCAATCGTTTGTATAACTAGTTGCTACTGGACAGATGTAAATTCACCCACCTCCAGATGCTTCTCTCTCCATGAAAGAAAACACACAACAGATAGGTTCACTATGCAAAACCAATGCAACTGCTGCACACACACAAACCAGGTATTCCCCCACTTTCCTCCACCCTCTCCCTGCCTCTGCCAATCTCACAGGCCCCAAGCTTAGCCAACAAAGCAGAGCTTATTTTTTTAGACTTTGTCCAGATAAATTTGGAAGATTGGGAAGGAGAGATTTCATAAACCCAACACCTCCTCTCACTAGCCTTACACTGTTTAATGTCACTGCCTTGGCTTTTGTAGTCTTAGTGGAAATAGAAACAAAATTTGTCAGGGTATCAACAGCTAGTGGCCCTCATGGTCTTTTTCTTCCCAGCAGCCCCTAGAGTAGAGGTGGAATACTTCTCAGGAGAGACTCGTGTACAGAACATTGAAAGGGTATAACAGTGTTATCTTCAAGAAACAAAGCAACATGACAGTCATTTATTATACTATAGCAATTGTTTTATTCCACCAGATTCAACCAATCGGGACTCGCTTGATATGATTGAACGAAGCTTGTGCTTAGTATGCCTTGATAGCCCAAGTGGGGAAGAACTCAATGACACTAGCATGGCTTTGAAACTTCTACATGGGGGAGGCTACAACAAAAATGGTGCCAACCGCTGGTATGATAAGCCCATGCAGGTAAGATGTTGCCTTGGCTCCCCATGGTTCCTCATGTTGCAGGACTGACCGATGCTCAAGAGCTCACTGCCTGGCTAGGTACAGTGGGGTATCGACTTACGAACGACCCTACTTGCGAACAATTCAACTTATGAACCTGCCCAATAGGGAAATAAGGACTCGACATACGAACTTCCCTCGAGTTACGAATAGGAAATAAGGTGCCCCCTCCCTCCCCTTAGAGGCTTCTGGAGGGGAAAAAAGGGTCAGAAACTTAAAAATAAATAAAAGAAAGTCACTTACCAGGCCTTGATAGCCCCCGAACTGGAGGAAAAAGAGCAGCAAACAGATAAAAGCCAACACCCAGAAGGGAGCTTGGCAGCCATTTTGTGCTTTTCTCTACTCCTGCCCCCTCCTCTCCCCGCTTAACAGCTGATCGGCTGGCTCTGAAGAGGCTTCCGGAGGCTTGCTCAGCACCTAAAAAGGCTGAGTTCCAGACTCCTGCCTGTGTGTCTTTGTGCTGAAAAAATCAGCACAACATGCTTTAAAACATGCTTTAAAATTGGCTTCGTTGAAAAAAAAGATTTCAAAAGTGCTTTGCAAACTGTTCCCTGCCTCCCCCCTCCTTTCCTGAACTTTTCTTGACCTAAGAAAAAAAGAAAAAATATTCCCCTCTAGTGGTAGAAGGCAGAATAGCAGCTTCCCATTAGTCTCTATGGACGGAAAAGAGCAGATACAGATTAAATGGTTTTCAATGCATTCCTATGGGAAATGCAGATTCGACCTACAAACTTTTCGACCTACAAACCGCCTTCCAATATGGATTAAGTCCGTAAGTCGAGACCCCACTGTACAATAAAATGCATCCAAGAGTTGTCAAACATTGGAAGGGAAAGCAAAAGCACCAACTATGGAGAGAGGAAAAGTCTCTAGAGGGTGGGGAACATCTGTCCTTCCAGATGGTGTGGACTTCAACTCCCCCAAGCCTCAGAAAGCATGTCCAACAGTAAGGGATTGTGGGAGTTGTACACCAATGTCTGGAGGGTCAAAGGTTTCCCATCCCTAATCGGGGGAAAGAGAGTGAGAGTGAGAGAGAGTTATTGCATCAGATATTCCTTGAATTGAATTGCAGGGGAAAATATGGTTGAGTCATTGATTAAACTCATAGGCGCCCCCCACTGATTCCTTCCAATATTAACCCAATCATGACCTCTCCTTCAAAGCAGCCACTATGAACCTACAGATGAAGGTTAAGTGCCTTTATCCTTTTCTACTCCATAATTAAACCTCTTCTAATTTGACCTAAATGTTCCACTCATCATTCTGCTTCAGTAGATACCCCACAGCTGCATTTGTTTGTATGTACATTCAATACACAATCCATATTTACACATGTGCATGCTTACACAGTCCCTACCACTCCCTACACTGGATGTGGCCCTCAGGGTCAGAATGACTGTACACCTGTACACCTCTGAAATAGAGGATGCCTGGAAGACACCCTTCTTTCTTATCAAAGCTAGCATTTCCGTCTTTGACACACACTGCTCTCTTCTACAGATTCATACACTCCAATGCAGTCTTCTTCTGTGCACTAGAGAGATCGACTATCCACAAGATTTCGCAGGAGCAAGCTTTCTCCTTATGTTTTTAAATCAGTGCTCTATTCCATAATGAGTGGCAAAATGTCACCCACCTCCACATATAATTTATTTGCCTGCATAGAATTCCCCCCCTCCCACTCCTGGGAGTGAGCCTCCAGTGCACAACAGGAAGAAATATTTATATCCATATCCAATTAAATCAAATGGAAAATGTTCAGTTCCAGTATCCATAATAAGAAAGCAAAGAGGGCAAAATCTAGGGATTTCATTTTATTTTTCTGGTTTGTGGAAATAGTACTTTTAGTAATGTTTTATTAATACCTGGTGGAGCATTTCTGCCATTTAAATTTTCTTAGGTTAACGTTTGTGGCAAAACAACCCTCCTGTAGGGGGTTAGGTCTGTGTAGACTCAATGTAACTTTTATGTTGAGTTTTACATCTGGTTCAGTCATTATATGGAAGGGCTAGATTTAGTTAGTATTTAACTAGTTTATTGAAAGCTGAAATTCCTCCTTTTGGTTACAGCCTTTCGTTCTAGTGAAATACAATTACTCACAACTGTTGCGCAGTGTTGTGATGGAGCTGGAGCTTTCAGTAGACATCACCTGCTACCCCACTCAGGCTTCTGTGTTCCCTAGGAGCTGGGCTGCACTTCTCCCAAGGGTGGAGGTGGGATACTGGACTTTAAAGATAACAATACATAATTGTGAGCTAAACTGGACCTGTTTTAATAGAAACTTTTCAAGAGTAGGCTGGTCTTAATTGAGAAATCAAGACCCTTTGGCTTTACATTCCTTTCTGTGCACATCAGGATTGTCATCAAGATGCAACAGTAAAGAATAATTATACAGAAGCTACTCCCCCGCTTAGGCTCAAGGCTAGCTATATCATACAGCAGGATGAAACAACTTGCTTCAGCCAGCACTATAACTGTGGTGGGGAGGAGATGTTGATAGATGGAGAGGAAGTTAGGAATGGGTGTCTGAATGAAGCATCAAGGGCCACACCATTTCAGCTTAATTTCAAGGAGGCAGCAGTCTTGGACTCCCAAAAGTTAAGTACATTGTGAGCTGGGAGACGTAGGAAAACAGGAAGACCACTGAGATACTTCTAGGCATGACCCCTAGGCCCAGCTAAGCTTCAGTCTTTCAAAACCTGGGTCCTTTTTAGGGAGAAAGGCATGATAAAAACTACTGTAAACTAACTAACTAACTAACTAACTAACTAACTAACTAACTAACTTGTGGAGCCCTGATCTTTTTGGATTGTGAGATGTTTATATTTTCATCTACCTGTGTGAATGTCAAAAGCTCAACTACCCAGCTGATAGAAGGAGCTACTTGATGAAATCAATTTTGCTTTCTGAAGCAAAATCAATGCAAAAAATAAAGCATATCATATTAGAGAGAGGGATATTATTTATGGGAAGCCACCTAACCATAGTTTTAAATAAGGTTCCTTTTCTTCAAACAATGGTATCCTTATAAATAACAATGTGCCCTCGCTCCAAATGCATGTGCTTCCCCTTTGGTTTAATCCTTTCCATTTTGCAAAAATTTCAGCCTTCTTTTCAGTTTTCGCTGGCTGAGTTTAGCTTTCCTGCAATTTCACAAGAAAGACAGATGCATCTGACGAAGCAAATTGCAGTCTACAAAAGCTTAGATTCTTGATCCTTCCTGTGTCCCAAGATTCTCTGTTGGTTTTGCTAGAATAGATTAACTTGGCCGCCTCCCCCAAAGATAGTGATTTCCATCATCTCTCTTGGAATTGACCACAGCTTTCTTGGCCAAACATGATCATAATGGGAGGGAAAGATAGCTCTTATAACCTAATCCAGGATGAATGAAAATGTTACCATTCTTGTTCATGGGGTTGTATCTGCAAGTTTTAGGCCTCTCTGCCTGAACGTGTCTTTCAGAAATGCCTGTTTAATCAGCATCTAACATACTTGGCCTTCACATGTCTGAACACAAAGCTTGCCTCTGTTATGGACACTAGATGGACTGGCTTTCATTGACTAGAATTAGAGAAAAAAGCAAACATTTCCTCTGTACATACTCTCTGTCAGACACAGACAAATGGTGCACTCGCAGGTATCCTTGTATTATGCAAGCACCTCTTCTAGTGATAGTCCCTAATGATGAATCCCAACTGATGTATTTAACAATAGACTTGACATATTCATAGATGGTGGATATTGGTGTCTACCAGACATTACCGTTGTGCATTCCTTCTGGAACCTGATATAGCATGACTCTGTTTGCCAGTCACTGAGTAGCATGAGATAGGTGGTGCAGTTCCTCCATGCAGTGTTCATTACACAAAACATTATGCCATTCATGTGACATTTCTGTCAACACATATTTCATTGCTTAGCTTGTTGTGGGAAGAGATGGAGTTTGTGGAACAGTGTGTGAACATTCCCCTTTTGAAGGAATCGTCCTGGTACAGTGCATCGAACATCTCCTCAGACACATGTAAGTCACTTCCAATTGTCTATGCCTGTAACATCACTTTTCCCCTCCCCTCCAAAGAGTCCAAGTTGAGTCTGCTTGTTCTCCCCTATTGTTTCAAACAAGCCTTCTGCTAGTCTGGGATGTTTCATCTGTTGACTGACTTCTTGATACTAAATTATACCTCAATGTCATAATACTAATAGTGTACCACCAAGACAGTTCCTCTTCTGGCTGTTTTTCATAGGTTTTTTTTTAAGGTGTTAAATACTCAGAAGTGGTTAAACATTCCCACTTCTAGGAGCACTGAGCAGGTTGCTCAGAGCAAACCTACATAATTTGTGGTGGTGTAAAATATGCTTTATGTAAAACAGCACAGAAGTCTAAGAACAGCAAAACTGAGTACTTGCAAATGGATGTTATGTAGTGTCCACCTTTTGAAACAATTTATGGAAGTTGTGTTTTCTGTCTTGGCGTTAAGGAGAAAAAAAGACTACCTTCTGAAGGTCTAGATAATATGGGGAGATCATTAAACTGGTCCACATTCTTGCTTAGCAAACATACCAATGACAACAATCACAACAACAAAATATATTAGTGTCTCTAGTTGGTTACAAGGTCAAGACTGAAAAAGAAAGCACTGGACAATGTGGTCAGTATGAATATACTGATTGCTGTTGACTGGGGATGATGCAAGTTGTAGTGAAGTAGAAATTTGGTCTACTGAGGGCTCAGGCGTAGCCATCATTCCTTAGTTGTCCAGTGGATGTAACCAACAAAGAGCAACCTGATACAACCACTAGGAATTTACCAATGATTACATGAGCATTAGGCAAGGAGATGCTGTGATTAATTTCAACATGATTTGTCAGTTGTCTTTTCGTATGGCAACTCCCAACTCAAACTTTTCCAGAGTGAGTGGAATGATCACTCAAGTTTGAGATTTAAAAGATCACGCTAAAGTTAAGAACCTTTTAAGCATGAACCAGACTGCTCCAACTTCCCCCAGCAGGATGCACCCTTGTTTAGATAGGTACTCATTAATTACAAATGGATTGTAACTCGGTAACTTTGTTGAGTTTTTTTTTTAAATAAACAAAATCAGGAAAGAAGGTGCAAAGAAGTTGGTCAGAGCAGATTCAGTGAGTGAACTTCCTGCTCCAAGGAGACTACGGTGGAAATGTTCTCCAGAAATTCGGGGACATTTGGCATCAGCCTCAGAAAAACTTCAAAGGTACATTCAGTTTTCCACCTCACCTTTGTTAATAAAGATATTAAGGCTGCTGATTGATTAAAATAGTGGATTAATCAGTTTATACTTCAACTGATTAATGAATAGGAGTTAATTTTAATCAGTGAGAGGAGAGATTCATTTGTGGGGCTTGCTTCATTTTTTAAAGGCTTCCTAGATTCTGGCATGTTGTTGTGAGAAAGAATGAGAACGAAAACATGAATAATGGCTTGTCTTCCAACAAAGTTAGCATTTGTATATTAAATTATCTCATAATTCTTTCACCATCTCAGAAGGGTACCTGTACTAGGATTTGATCTGTACATTCATTTAAATTCAACCAACTAACCCATTAGTTAATCTCTTTACAAACAGAGGGTGATTTGACTGACATTTCCTTAAATAGAGATAGACATAATGTGGTGGCTAGAGCAGCAGGTTGGGACTGAGCCACACAAAAAGAAACATTTGGTCATCTTGAGTCAGTCAGTCTGCTTTAGTTTACCTCATTTGGCTTCAGGATATCCCTTTGTCTTGCTTGTCTTGAACTGAGTGAGTAAGTTGAGGTGATGGCTATGGAACCTGCCCAGCATTGGTGCCACCCAACACCCCAGTCTTCCCAGACTTGGCAATGCTTCCAAGAAGTCCAAAAATCCACAAGACTGGGCACTTAGAAACAAACAACCCATCTTGCAAGGTAGAGCTACCCCACACCCACAAAATGATAACACTGCCAGTAGCTGGTCAAGTCAAGACCTGATTTTAGTGTCACAAACTCTCTGAGCCAAAAGCCCAAATGGTTGGTTGGAGATTTTATATATATATAATTAATAATAGTCAAAGTTTCCAAAAAGTTAATAGTCAAAGTTTCCAAAAAGTTTCCAAAAAGTTTCCAAGAGCAATTGGAGCATAAATACAATTGAGGCATAGCTAAAGTAATCAAGAGAACACACCAGAAAATAGCAAAGCTAGATTAATACTCACATATGGGCATAGTTTTGAAGCATACACTGAGCTGGAGAGCAATTGAGCATAGCATCTCCTGAGAGGTAAGCTAAGTCCACTGTAGTAGCTTCTGAACTCCTCTTTATATAGCAGACATCCCATTCTAGCCCCTTGCAGATGGTCTTCCAATCAGGCTTCAGGTTCTCTTGAATGTTCATAAGGACAAGAGCACTTTCTGTCCCCCCCCTCCCTTCACACTGCTGAAATAATTTCCCAATTAGTATAGTATCTGGGAACAAGTTAACTTGGCCTTGGAGGCCTCTCTCACACAAGAGATAAGCTGCATATGTGTGGTATATGTTCCTGGGTAAGAAAGCATAGGATGGCATCTAATCTCAGCTCTTGGTCAACAGCAGCCTAAAGAGAGATCTGGAGCTCAATCCTCCACCATACCATTTTCCCAATCAAAATTGTCCCCACCCTATGCTGCTGCTATATTCCCTGTTGTGGGAAAGCAATGCAGAGGCCTAAAGAATAATACTATCCAATCTTTAGCATAAATATAGAAACAGGGGCTAGAGTACATCAAGAAGAAGAAGAAGAATGAGTCTCTCACAAGATTGTGTCTTTACATTCACTGTGGCAATGTAATACATATTATGGGTATGTTCCTGTCACATAAATAGTTGCTCAAAACATGACAGGAAGTAAATTGGATACAGCATTTTCCTTTGCATTTTATGCAAAGAGTATCCTCTATTTGTACCTAAGCTGTCCTCTAAGCAGACCACTAAATACATCTTGGCCTTCAGAGTGTGAAGAGAATATATCGAGAAAAGTGACAGGAAACAACTCATTTGTGTAGGCAATTTGCATTGCAGTGTAAAGGCTCCCCCCCCCTTCAAATTTCCATATCACCACTACAAGGGTTGTTTCTCTTGAACTGCATTTTCCATCTCACAGAGGGATCATATGGCTTTGTATGCAGAGCTTGAACAAACGAGATAACAAGGGATTTGAGGCCATGGGAAGTACTGTACCCAAAGATGACAGTGAAACATATAATAGCTTTGGAACATGCATCTGAAGGGTGGTGGAAGGGGAGTCCTTTTTTATATATCACATTTTTACTTCCAATTTTCATTGCTGGTGTTTCTGCTCATTTTCTAGAATGGTGAAGAATCTAGATTTTATTGTATATAAATTTGAAAACTATGGGAAAGAGTTCATCAAGAAACAGAAGATGAGCCCAGATGCATACGTCCAGGTGGCACTACAACTGGCATTTTACAGGTAGGCAAACCCAAATCAGATAAGCTGTTATGGAAAATCTACAACTGAATAGTATCAGAAGGTCAAAGTAGATGATACAATGAACCTGCCTTTAGAAGCCAACCTCCCTTAAGACATTTGTGTATTCTACCTTGATCTTTTCTCACCTTTCACATCTTGCCAGTTGGCCTGCTTTTGTTTCCCTTTTTGATTGGTCACCATGAAGTAAACACAGGCTTCATTTGCACAAAGTGTAGAAGCAATTACATGCCTGGACGGAAAACGCATTATCAGCTTGTAATTCCAAAGCTGGTGTCTTTTGTAGTTTGACTCTCAGGGGCCTCCCTTCACCCCATGACTGCCAGAAACCCCAAACAAAGAACTACAGTGGTGCCTCGCTTAACGATTGCTTCGTATAACGAAAAATTTGCTTAAAATTTTTTTTCAGAGCACTCTTGCACTTCGTTTAACGATTTTCCCTATGGGCGATTTTTGCTTAACGATTTCGGGACCATGCTTTGGGTAACGTTTTGGGTTTTAGGTCCCCTTGTTTCGCTTAACTTTTTTTTTGACAGCCCCGTTTTCGCTATTTTAAAAATATTCTAAAATGTTTAAAAATGTTTAAAATGCTTGGAATCATTAGTGCACCTAATAAAACCTTCGTTAACTTAATTTGGCTTTGTTCTGAGTCTTTTTGAATTTTTTGTGAATTTCCCCCCCCATTGAAATAGGCTTCAATGCATTTCGATGGAGGAACCGTGTTTCGCTTAATGTTTTTTCCTATGCCGATTTTTGCTTAAGGACGGTAATCCGTTCCAATATTTATACCGCTCAGAGTGGTATAAATATACCAGATGGGCGGGATATAAATCAAAGAAATAAATAAATAATAAAATAAAAATTATCCGGTTTTCAATGCATCTCTATGGGAAATGCTGTTTCGCTTAACAATGTTTTCACATAGTGATTTTTTTCGAACCAATTAAAATCGTTAAGCGAGGCACCACTGTATAAGCAAAGTGATGAAGCCTTCTCTCATCCCACAAGGACCCTATTCTCATGTTTACCTTCCAGAGAGAAGTGGTCAAACTAGTCATATCTTAATAAACGTAAATTGCAGATTTGAGATGGCAATACACATCATGACCTGGAGTCTTTAAGCCTTTGTCTTCCCCCATTGCAGTTCTGATCTAGATAGGTAAGTGACTGGAGCGGGCAGCTCTAATTGGCACAAACCTGAGTTATCACACAACTGAGCTCAAAGCAGTGAAAATGGTTTCACTCTTCCCATCCTCCTCAGGCAGAGTAAGTCCATGAGGTAACAGCTCACTCAGGGTCATCCAGCGAAGTTTGAAGGATTTGAACCTGGGTTTCCCCACCCTGGCTATAACTTGTAGGGCACAACTAAGACATGACAGTGGTTCAAGGTAGCCATGTGCTCCTGGTTTCTTCTAAAGGGGGCGGGGAATCAACCTCCACCTACACTTTTCCATTCCAAAATGCTATGCGTTTGTTTTAATTATTCCTCTGGCTTGAGGAAGAGGACTATTTGATTTCCAGTAACTTTCAGCTTATGGCTCTCAGAGAAATAATTTTTTTTTAAAAAAAAAGCAGTTTGAAAAGTCAGAGAAGTGTGATGCAGTAGCAAATTTTGAAATTCTGATTCCCATAATGACAATCCCCTTGGCCAACCTTAACAAAGAAAACCCAATAATGCAAACAGTGGTGTTGATTCATATCAGTAAACCAGTTCTGGCAGTGTTGATCTTCACTGGGAGCAGGTCTTGACTTCCCCTTCAAGGCCAAGCCACTGTAAAATAGATTCCATTACAAGATGGATGTCTCATCACAATATGTTGTTGCCAGGAAAATCCAATTTCTTCCCGGCTACTCTGAGTACTGTGTTTATGCTCGGAGAGAACCAGCAACCCACGTCTGGGTGGCAGTTGATGCAATTGTCCCAGCTAATCATGAAGTCCTGGAATTTCAACGTACAAGCCCTCACTCCCCTGCAATACTGTTTGCATATAATGTGTAATTTCATCATCCAGTAATTGAATCATCTAGTGAAAATAATCATCTCATATCAAAACTTTATTATAAATATGGAGACAGAGAGGAGAAGTATTATGATGGATGATTTCCAAAGAGATAGCCTTTCTATGGTCTTTAATTCAGCATAACTGGAAGGGAAGGTAAGGGAAGGGAAGGGAAGGGAAGGGAAGGGAAGGGAAGGGAAGGGTCTTGTTGTACCTTTCAGACTGAAAGATTAATTTTAGCAAAAGTATTCATAGATTACAGTCCAGTTCTTGCAACTCATGGGCCAAAATCCTACCAGACAAACTCACATGTGTGAGGGTAATCACAGAGTCATTTTTCTCTTTTGGCTTGCTATTCATTATGTGGCCGTTGCACTAGCAGGCATGCAACCATGGTCCTAAACAGAGCGAAACTGGGGAGTGCAACAGACAACAAGCCAGATATGTCATCTTGCTTATGCTTTTCCTTAGTTATGCTCCATGAATCCGTTATGATTCCAGCCATGGAATATAACAGACGAGCCTTACGTGGAATCCACATGCTTGTGGGTCAAAGTAACATAGGGTACAGAAAATGGTAAATGTATAGTAAGATTGTTCATAAGCTGTCAAAGGTAGCAGGAAAGAGCTACACAATGCTACTCCATCCATCTGAAGAGCTGCATTTAACCCATGAAGGTTCATGCTAAAATATATCTGCTAAGTCTTAAAGGTCATGCAGGTCATTGGCAATACTGAAATTATACTTTTTTGGTCTTAAAACATGCCACCAAACAGTTTCTTCTTCTTCTTTTTGTTGTGTTCAAGAAGGAAAGCCTCTCTGTGAGCCTCAGTTCCAGTACAACACTGGTGGGTGGACAGCACAAAGGAGGAGTTCATCCTTCGCACTTGTGCTTGGCTTCATATTAACTCTCCTGTTACTTTATATAATGAGCCTTGTGGCACAGTGGTTAAACTGCTGTCCAGCAGCCAAAACCGTGCTCATAACCTGGGGTTCAATCCAAGATAGGCAGCTCAAGGTTTACTCAGCCTTCTATCCTTCTAAGATCAGTAAAATGAGTACTGAACCCACTAGGGAGTGGGGCAATGTGTAGCCTGCATAATTAACTTGTAAACCGCCCAGAAAGTGCTTTAAGTGCTATGGGGCAGTATATAAACAGCACACTTTTTTTTCCCTTTATATCAATTTGGTTGCAGGCCAGACTGAATGCAGGCCTCCCATCATAACTGCACCCAGTTTCTAATAATAATTATATTTGCATGCTGTGAAGTGACCCTTCCCAACTTTATTAACTCATTAACTGTCAACATTCCCAAATCCTTCAAAGGGACTTACTGTAGTGTGGATACCTGGGGCCAATGGCAGGACTACTTGCATACCCCTGCCCTGAACCCCATCAGGTGAGTCCCAGGTCCCAGGTCCATGCTGTCACGTTGACAGCCCATTCTCATTCCCAAGCAGTTAACACTGAGATGACCCTCCCAGCCTCCAGCCGCCTAAGCCATGAGACTTTAGACAGCCATTGGCCTTGGGGGGGGCACCCATGCCCTTCCCTTCCTGGCAACTGAATCTCTGGATCTGCAGTGCTGATTTGTTGGTTGTACTAACAGCCCTCATGTGACCCTAAGGAATTCTGGGGGCATCCTGGGACTTTTCCTTTGAGGCAGTTTCCTCAAGGCTACGCAGGCTGGTTGTTCTCTCAGGAGGCACAGCGGTGAATAGAAGACCTGGCCTTGGGCTCTGCAGTCAGCCGCCCAATTCACTGAGCTATTCTGCCAGCTGTCTTTAGTTTGAGCTGCCCAGATGTGCAGTCACTAGCAGCAGCAGTAGTCCTTCCACTTCTGGACTGCTGTTGATGTTTAATGCTTACGCAGCAGCAAACTATTTATGTTGAGCAAGGACGAAAACAATACACCCACCCCACATCAGTCATCAGAAACCCACTTTGCATTAACAAGCTGAAGAATAATAGGGCCTCATTAGCAGACAAATCAGAATATAGATGGAGGCAGATTTTCCTTGTTGCCATTAGACTCTGAGCAGTAGCAAAAACATTCCATGCTTAAAGCATCATGACTCTAATGGGGGAAAATTAAATGAGAGGCCCCAGAGCCAAGTAAAAATTAGCTTTATTAGACAGCAAACATTAATCAGTGTGGCATTAAAAAGGTAGAGAAGAGAATGTGGAGATAAAGGTGAATAAAGGACATTCTCCAAAATTTAGGTGCTCAGCTGAACCCCTATAACCCTGCTTCAATCACTGGGTGAATAAACAGCTTCAAAGGTCTCTTCAATGGGCATGAGAAAAATATTACTGGTTATTTTAATGGAAACAAACACGTTAGTTTTCCACAGTGTTTCCAGACATAGCTATCAGAAATTGCAAAAATTGTTTTCTGGATTTACAGTTCCCAGAATGCTCTGCTTGCGAGCATTGAAGAAGTTATACTCGAATTTATTTCAACCCTTGCTGATAGTTCTCCGTAATGTTTTTTTTTCCCATAGGATCTATACTTACAGACACAATCTCTTCCATAAAACTGATGAAAACATAGGAACCTAGCCTTATTTTAGCCTTTGTAGAAAGAAATACTTCAGGAGACCCTGATGTTTCCAATTGATGGAGGAGAAAGAGGGGTTGTTATGCCAATATATTGGTGAAGTGTGTCTTCACAGCTGGAAAAGAGTCCACACTGTGTCTTGAGTCTCTGCCAACCATCAGCCTTCCAAAGAGTATAGGGGATGACTTAAGCTAAGAAAGAACTGCCATGGAGAACAGATTTCTGAAGAAGTCCTTCATCCTTTACCTCACTATGAATTTAATGGATAATGTATTATAACAAATGCAGGTCAACAGAACACACTGTACACTTCTCTAGGCTGTGGAAAGTTGGTTCGTTAAATTTGCATCCATCTTCTCCCTTATCCAGTTGCAGAACACGGTAGATAGTGGACACCCTTTGTACAAGTGCAAGGTAGCCATGGTGCTGCTTCCTAGGCCTGGCTTCCCACCCAGCAGGCTTTGTCCACTCAGAGTTAAAACTGGCAGTTAGAAAGCTATTTCAAAACAACAACAACAACAACAACAACAAAATAACCTAATGTGATAATACTAAGGCCCGAGAAACTAGTTAATTACTATCACACTTAAAAGTGAGAAATGATTAGCATTCATTTGTGCATCAAATTTGAAGTGTGCAATATATTACAATAACCTAATGTGATAATACTGAGGCCCGAGAAACTAGTTAATTACTATCACACTTAAAAGTGAGAAATGATTAGCATTCATTTGTGCATCAAATTTGAAGTGTGCAATATATTCAAATATTTTAAAAATATGAGAAATATTAAAATTTTAATATGCAAATACTAATTGTTATACTTGCAGTTTTAAAAAGAAATTTTTTGTTTTAACATAGAAATACCTAAAATATACAGTATTAGGCATAGGTTTTTTTTTGTTTTAACATAGAAATACCTAAAATATACAGTATTAGGCATAGGTACTTTCAGTTACTTTCTGTTACATTTTAAAATTTTGATTACAAGCCAATGGGCGGTGATATAAGACATACCTGTTTACCTCATCAGTTTCTCAAACAGGTGAAGACCTTCTCTTCAGGCAAAATTTTTATTAATGACTGGCTACCTGGGTGGGGTTTTAAATGGATCATTGTGCCTTACTGCTTTGAACATGTTTTTGGTGATGATGCTTTGTTTACCATCTTTTAGTGTGCCATTTGTTCGATCCTTTATAGCAGAGGTCCCCAACCCCTGGTCCACGGCTCATGCCGGTCCGTGGCCTGAGCTGGACTGGGCTGCGGAGACAGACCTCCCCTCCCACCCACCTGCACACACTCCCCCCCCCGCACAGCCCATTTGCGCCTGTGCCTTCCCCCAAGTTGGGTTCATAAAGAATCTATACCTTTATTGTTGCAAAAAAAATTACAATTAACTGGTTATTTACAACTGGCTCTAACCATGCTGTGAGTTGAATTAACTTTTCCATGCTTTATTTTGGTGGTGTTGCTGTTGTTAAATAAAACTGGTTGCAAGTGAACAATTAATTGTATCATGGGATTACTACATGGCAGAAAATGAAACATTCCAATTCCATAAGCTTATAGCAAACTGTCATTTTAGTACCCTTGTTGGCAGACTTAAAGGAGTTATTTACAAGTGGCACATAACTAAAATAAATTCAAGCACATGGTCATTGATCTCAGTATTTTAAAAGGGGGGGCTGTCAAGTCTAACTCTTCATATAAAATTCTATTAGCATAAAAATGAAATACGATACAAAATAAAAAGCAAGATTGCAAGACAGAAACCCAGATAGCTTATTTTTCTTCCAGCTTTTTTAACACCTCAGGAGAAACAGAATCACTGTACATTTTTCACTTCACTGTAGGTTGTATGGGAAACTTGTTTCTACCTATGAAAGTGCATCCATACGCCGCTTTGAAGATGGGAGAGTAGACAACATCCGATCAGCCACTCCTGAAGCTTTGGCTTTTGCGAAAGAAATGGTGGATAAGAAATCATCTCTACAAGTATGTGAATAACTATCCTGCTACCTACCATCTGTTCATTTATGTTTTGCTCTGAAAAGGCCTAACCTTTTGTTTCCCCTTTTGGAAAAACATAAACCTAAAACTGGAGGATCACACTCTTGAAAGGCCTCATTGTCCATTTGAACGCTATTCACCTCCCGCATCTTTCAAAGGCACCAAGGACTCCGTTTCCCAATACCAGAAGTGTTGTTTCGACAAAAGGGCAAGGGCAGCCTTCCAAGGCCAGAGGGAAGGGAGAAAGGTGGCCTCTTGCTTGTCCACCCCTGTTCTAAATCATACCAGCACAAACACACACACACGTTTCTCTTTTTCTCTCTCATACAGAAAGCTCCTAACACAAATGTGCATCTGGAATAGGAAAGGGAGGAAGAGCTTTGGTACAGAGAAATGGCAGTAAGCAGGGGGAAAGTACACATACACCTCTCTCTCAGAGCTCTAGCCTCCCAGAGATGCTTTTATTAACGAAGAAAGAAAATGCTCCAGAGCATCCTTTGTGCACATTCCTAATGAATCATGCACTTGCCCTTAAGCAGAGTAATTCAGTACTGCTCAGTTTTCAAGTGACCTCAGCAGGGAGCTCTCCTTCAGCTGGGTTCTGTACTGTCTCCCACTGCAGTTTTTTTCTGTGGTAATTATCCCATGTCTCCTCCTAGCATTTAAACTCATTAAACTCTTCCAGCTTTCTTTCTGTTTTTGAAGCCATTTTTTTAAAAAAATATTCCCTTTGAACATTTCTACTTCCATTACACCTGGAAGGAATAATTTCTCAAGCAGTGCTGGACAGAGGCAGCCCTGTCCTCCCTTCTATAGGCCGGATGATCTCTCTCTCTCTCTCTTACCAACAGGCCTGGAATTTTTTTAAAGATCCACCACATCACTGGGTGAAAGCTGTAGGCAGAGAAGGCAGGAGGAGGAGTGGGCTGCTCAGGATGTTTCATCTCACTTTCAAAGAGGAAACACCAACGTCTGTCTTTGGCTTTAAATCAGAACTATGCATGGTGGCCAATGGGTAGCTCAGGTCAAAAAGCAGAAGGCTGTGTGGATAGGGAAGTAAATGCTCTCGCAGAACTTCAGATATAAAATCAGTTCAAGATATTTATTATTATTTATTTAGTTAAAGTATTTTAAATTACACTTTTATGCACAGGTCCCATGCAGAACACAAATGGGCCAGTCCTATGGATGGGCATATGAGAAAGTGACACAATCGAAAACTAGGCTGATCCAGCCATCTGCACTTTTTAATTACAGCTTCAACCTTGTTTAAGTCAATGGGCTGAAAGCAAGCTTTCCTAGCAATAAACAAAACATTCGGCCCTTAGTTATCTCAAATAATTTATTTTTTGATGGACGGTTAGAATTAATTGGAGGCTTATTCACTGGGAAATTACATCTGAGGATGTTAAGGTCAGCGTCTCAGGAAAAAAAAGCTGAAAGTAGAATCTCTGAAAGCTTATTTAACAGTCTAATCCAAAAGATATTTACTTAGAAGTTAGTCCCACATATTTCAGTGGGACTTATCCCTAACAGGTATGTTTTGGATTACAAATTAAGGTTTTGTTTTGGTTGAATGGAAGTGAAAAACAACTAGCCAATCAAAACAACATTTTATCTGATGTGGCATGGTCATGTTTTCATTAAAGTCAGTGACGACTTATCTATAACTGAGTGCAGCTCATAATCTGATTGGGGAGCACCTTATCCCACTATTTTGGGGTGGACTGCTCCCCCACACACACACTCTCATCACAAACCACCTCTCCTTACATCATCCTGTTCTAACAAAATGTGTAATGTATAAGTTTCTTCAAGGATGCTGGAAAAGTGTTGAAGAGACAGTGTATAGTAACACATAAGTCAGGGTTCACGTCACTTTAAAGCTAGAACTAGTAGCTACATCTTCCAACATAAAATATACGTGGCATATTTGATCTTGTTCAAGGTCTTAAGTGGGAATCATGGCTTTGCACCCAATAGCAGCCTCAGCATGGAATCCTACCCCTTATCAGAGATGCTGGCAAGTTTTGGGGGCCAAGTCTGAAGGCCACGTCTTTGGTACCAAGTCTCAAGCACCAAATCAAAGTCCTTATTAAAAATAAGTGTTTTTTTCCCAGAAAAAAAGGGAGGAGTGGGTGGGTTCTGAGTCGCGAGTTGTGTCTGAATCATTGGGGGGGGGACACCAATTCAAGTCACCAGTGTGACTTAAGTCCGACTTGAAAGAGAGTCCCATTGCTCAAGTCCTCAACCCTGACCCTTAGCTCATCTGCAATTTATGCTGCCAAAAAAGAGATAAACTATAAGCAAGAAAAGTCACAGTGTGTGACCATTATTGAGTCCCAGCCAAATATGATTGGCCATGCATATTGTGGAGTAAATGAGATAGCTAGACATAGCTGCTGGCTGTGTTTCTAAAGTAAAATGTAGTTTGACCTTAGCATCATTAGAATGGTTCAAACACTTAGAAGCAGGACAATTTCATCTCCTCCTCTGCTTCCCTCGTAATTTTAGTAGTGTCAAATCTGTGGTACAGCAGGGTCACATTGCAAATGTCCTTAACTCACTCCACTTCATTATCAGTCCCTTAACAATGATGAGCGAATTACAATGTGATGTCAACTCATCAAGTTTACCAAATATTACCAGGAAAGGTGGAAGGGATGTTGTAGCAGAGCTTGGAATGTTTTTATAAAAAAAAACAAGTGCTGGCACTAGTTCTTACTTTTGTACACATTTGTCATTACAAGAGTAATGCAGAGAAGTGGGAAACATTAGCTTTTTAAAACAACAAGTCTCATAATACCTGAGGAGGCTTGTCCATTTAAGCTGGTGTGACATGATGAGATGCCTCAGTGAGAAATGTTACAGTCCCACAAGTTTCCTTCCAAGGAGGAAGGAAAGAACGTTTTCTCCCCACCCCCTTCAAAGTTGTTATGATGTAGAAGCAATGTTTGTACTACCCTTTCCCTTTCAGAAGCTATGCACAGAGAGACACTCAAAGAGAGCAAACACAGAAAGACTGGCTTACTTTTAAGAAAGGCACAACCAACCCATCCAGTGCTTCAGATTCTTAAGCAAAACAGAAAGCATCCTTGTTCTGAGCAATTCATGCAATTTATGAAAGTGTGTGCAATGCATATTTTTGTGCAAGAATGGACATTAAAAAAAGAAAAGAAAATAATTTTCTCAGCAATGCCCGAACTATATCAAAAGTGGCAGGAAATGTTTTGCCTTCCTTGTCAGTGAGGAAAATGTTGCAGTCTCATGAATTCTCTGTGAAGATTCATTTGAAATAAGGTGTTGGAAGAAAGTATTACAGATACGCTGAAGTTGTAGGGGGGAAAAGATGCTAGATATAATCAAGGTTAAATATCTAGAGTAAACATTGAAAAATGGAGGCTATTGTCTTTGGGAACCTCGTGAGAAGACTCACTGGTAAGTTTTGCTTAAAAAAAACTTGGCAGCAGGAGAAGAGGGAGACTGGATAAGAGGTGGATTGGCTCAGTAAAGGAAGCCATGGCCTTGAAATTGTAAGAGCTGAGTGGGGTCATTAATTCAGAGTCACTGTAAGTCAGAAATGATATGATGGCACATATCATGTGCACTATATCCTGAAACATTCATCCGTACATACATTGTGGAACTTTTTTGAGCCAAGAACTGCTTTGCAATCTTTGAACTGGCAGAAAATTAAAAGAATAATTGTGTTCCAATCAGCGCATTAATGTGGAAGGTGTGATTCCAGATTAGTTTGGCAGATCAAATTAAGTCGAGTTTCTTCAGTTGCATTCGCTTTTGCAACAAATACATATTGAAAAAAATCAAAGAATAAAACTACCAACAAAAAAAGTCAGGAGGAAAAACACAGCCCGTTAGATGCAAAATAGAATGAGGCACAGTTGTACAGGTTACAGTTCAGGTTACTTTATTAGACTTCATTTTAAAAGGAACTGCCAAAACTTTGTTTAGAAATACCATATATTAAAGCATCTCTAACTGGGGAGGGGGGAGCCACATATTAGAGCTTCCTTCTGAGTAAACATTCATTGTAATTGTGTTCTTATGTAACCTAATGGTGTATAAGAACCATTCAATTATGAAAGTATTTCTAATTCCATTCAATTATGGAAATATTCCTTTAAAAATTGTTCTTTCCCCTTTTGCTGTCTACAGGACTCTGAGAAAATGCAGCTGCTTAAGGATGCAATAACTGCTCAGACTAATTATACTATATTGGTAAGCAAAATATTATTTGAGCCTGAAACTCAAATGTAGAGTTTTTAAAAAACTTCTTGTATATAAAATGCTAATGATGTGATATAGTCATAAAATTAATAACTTTTTCTTATAGGTGCTGATGCTATGTTACAGCATTCCTATCATTACACAATTATCTGTTTCAGTCTGTAAATATTTCCACAAAATATAAAGCATACAGGCGATTGGGGGGGGGAACCTTTATCCAAGCCAGAATATGTACTATTCTATATGCCTCAGGGGTACATATGTATCACATATGAGCATGACCTCATGATGAACATGATCTCATGTGCAAATTGTGATTTGAATGTAAAACTGGTTCCCAAAATCATTGCATAGAAATATGTTTATTAGTGGGAATATAATTTGTCCTAATGAACAGCAGAAAAAATAGTGCTGAGCATGAAATATGAAGATTTTTTAATGAAGTATGGGTGTCTGTGTTCTGTGTCAGAAGTGACTTATTATAGTGACCCTAACAGGGCTTTCAAGATTGAAGTATGGGTGTCTGTGTTCTGTGTCATAAGTGACTTACAGTGACCCTAACAGGGCTTTCAAGGTAAGTGAGATATTTAAAGGAGTGGTTTTACCAATTCCACTTCCCTAGTGAATTTCCATGACTAAGCAGGGATTCAAACCCTGTTCTCCAGAGTCCTAATCCATTATTCTATCCACTACACCACACTGGGAATCAATGGAGAGCAGTAACCATTTATTAAGTCAGCTTTAATAAACTGCTGACATTTACTCTGCTTCCAGGTGAAATGTTTGTGCCCACCAATAATTTAGAGCCGAAGCCCAGAACTGCATCGTGCCATTTTGTCATATGACAAAATATGACAATGAATATTTTCCTGTGAAAACTCTCACAAAATCATAACGACAAAAGAGCATACGTGAATTCACTAGGCCGTTTTACATTAGTGAAGTATTTTTGGATGTTCACAATCACGTTTACTGGTGATGGGTCATGAGTATTTGGTTTCTGATATGTGAAACCATGAGTCAGACCCCAATTAAATTAGTGGCACTTGCATCCTCTAGTGAAATCAATGTGAAATATTAGCTGTGACTAACATATGTCTCATTGATTTCAATAGGATTTAAAAACAAATGCCTGGATACACCCTACCCTAAGTTTATATTTTGAGTTCAGACGGAGAGTTCAAATGAACTTTCATCCTGAGGACTGTTCACATTTGTTTAGCATCAGTAGTCCTGCCCTATCTATTGCTATAATGCAGTGGTTCTCAGCATTGAGTCCCCAGATTTTCTTGGATTAATACTCCCAGAAGACTTCACCACCGGCTGTGCAGGCCAGGTTTTTGGAGAGTTGTAGTCCAAGAACATCTGGGCATCAGGCCAGGTTTTTGGGGAGTTGTAGTCCAAGAACATCTGGGCATCCAAGACTGCAAATCACTACTGTAAGGTCATTTACTTTACTTCACGACATGGCACTATTACTTAAGGCAGTGGTCCCGAACCTTGGGCCTCCAAATGTTCTTGGACTTCAACTCCCAGAAATCCTGGCCAGCAGAGGTGGTGGTGAAGGCTTCTGGGAGTTGTAGTCCAAGAACATCTGGAGGCCTAAGGTTGGGGACCACTGACTTAAGGGATAGTCAATCCATGTTTATTTATTTTAATTAAAATATTTTTAGCTGTCTTTCTCCTTAAAACAGACCTAAGATGGTTTACGTCATTAAAAGACAGTATTTAAAGCTAACAGCACTGAGTATACAAAGACTAAAAGGGATGAAACACATGCTATGTTAAAAAACATAAGCAACACCAAAAAGAAAAGGGATGAAACACATGCTATATTAAAAACATAAGCAACACCAAAACACAGTAGGGTAAAACGATCCATTTAAAAACCATACTCAGGCAGCCAGTCACTAAAGGAAAATTTGCCTGAAGAGAAAGGTCTTTGCCTGCTTGTGGAAGGACAGTAAAGAAGGAGCCAATTTAATCTTCTGTAGAAGAGAATTCCAGAATCTGGGGGCAGCAACAGAGAAGGCCCTGTCCTGTGTCCCCACCAAACACACCTGTGAAGGTGGCAGCATTGAGAGAAAGGCCTCTCCTGCTGATGTTAACACTCGAGGAGGCTCATAAAGGGAGATCCATGGGATAGCTTGGGCCCAGGCCATTTAAGAATTTATAGGTTAGAACCAGCACTTCGAATTTTGCCCAGAAACATTGTTCTTTGCAATAAGAGCAGGACTCAAGCTGAAATAATTACTAATTAATGGCACCTTCTCTGTTAGACACAAGAAATTAAATTTAGAGCATGAATTTTCTGTCAGTTTTGATCATCTATTTCCTAGTTATCTTTAGAAGAGAACTTATTTTTAAAAAATTATTGCTCAACAGTTGGAAGGACAATGATCATAAATTCACAGATCCAGAAACAAAATTAAAGTTACAGACTTTGAACTAGGTTCAGAAAACTCCCATATATGATTGGAAACAGAGTTTGGAAGAGTTACTTTTTGGACTATAGTTTCCAGAATTTCCCTGTGATAATGGCCTCTGAGGGATTCTAGAAACTGTTTCTGAAAAATTAATGACATCCATCGACCAAAAACAATGCATAGGTCATTGTTATCTCCATGCATTGAAACTCTTCTAAGGCTGAATTTTTGAGTTTGGGAATGTTACTTTTTTCAGCCTGCAACTCCCAGAATTCTATTGCCAGTATGGCCAGTGAGTTTTAAAATCCAAAAGAGTAACTTCTCCATTCTTTGCTGATTCTGACGTTTCAAAAATTTGTTCAAGACACAAGAGAGTAGACAAAACAGTCCAAGTTTTCTCTCTATCTTGTTGACAATCCTAAACCCAATACCATTGCACTTAAGAAAGAAGAAATACCCATCTGTCTAAAAAGAAACAAGAAGCCTTGAGGCATAGTTTAATGTTATTTAATTATCCCCTTGTTAGGGAAACAGCACTGCTAGATTAAAACTGTAGCCCCAAAAATTTAATTTAGAATCTCCCCCCCCCCACCCGCCACATATGTTGACTCACCCTTTATTTTGTTAGCCCATCTCAGTCTCTTTCTCTTCAGACATGACATTAATCTACCTTGGGGGGAGAAATGCCATTGCTAAGAGCCTTATAAATCAAGTTAGATAGCAAAATATTTCCATTGATCTTTCAGTCCATTCCTCTTGATGGGGGTGGGGGTGGGGGAAATCATGATGGCCATTCCTAGGTTTTACAATCCTTCCTCATGACTCATGGAATATGTGCCCCAATGGATATGACAGCATTAGTCTCTAGGGTATCTGTTTTCCTAATGAGCCACAAAAGGTTATTTATTCTTGCTCTTAGCATAATTTACCTGCTAGGTATTAGCAAAAAGCAGAACCATTTCACTTCCCTTGAACATTGCACGTATTCCGCCTCTGCCATCAATTCACTTAAGTGTTTATTTGCTTATTTAAAACATATATTTGTCCCTTTTCTGTCCCCTCGAGTCCCAAAGCAATGTACAATAGATTAAAAACGTCGCTTGAAATGCGGAACATTGTTTTAAAAACTGATGAAAAACACTCCTTATACGCTAATTTTTAATATCAGTGTTAAACACCAAAGGCCATCAAAAAAGCAATAATTTGTATGCGAAGGCAAGGTCTCCCTTTGTAATATGGAAATATCAATTCAGAGCCCAGCTGTACAGGATTGTTGAACAGACTACTGAAAGAATGTAGCCTGCTTCACATGTTTATACCTACTCAATGAAGGGGAGAGCAGGGATGAGCAGTTTGGGTCTGTTCCCCTTTGGTCGCATTCTGTGTGGGACATAACCATTAAGGTCTTTCTGCAAAATGACTAAACAACAAGTAACTTTTTCCCCCAATGTAATGAGTATTGTTTATTTGTTGCTTTTTCTAGTTACTTTCGGAAGACAAATGTATTTGGGGGGAAATTGTAGGGGTTTTGTTCCCCCTCCCCCATTTTTTGGCCATTTTCTTACATATTTGGACAATACTTTTCCCCTCAAAGGAACCATAAAGTAAAGGAAAAAATAATGCACGAAATAACAAATAATGCAACAAGGTGTGATTAAAAAAAAAAAAGATAATAATTCACAAAGGAGCACATCCCAGAAAAATATCTCCTGTTTTCTCACATGTGATTGGAATCAGAGCTTGGAGAAGCTACTTTCTGGAGTACAGTTTCCAGAATTCCCCAACCACTGTGAACTTCTACAGGAATATTTTTTACATTACACCAAGTACAGTAGGATTTCAGCCACTAACTTATTTTGTATATACTGACTTCAAAGTAAGTCTCAATGCATTCAGTGGGTGTTACTTCCAGAAAAGTAGGTAAGGGGTTGAAGTTGAAAAGGTTTTGAACTGAACCTTCTTAACATTAGATTATATCCTATGAGAGTCATCTTGAAGAAAGTACTGTATGTTTAGTGTCAGTATGACTCAATGGCTGAAATCCTGTACCATAGCTACATGTAACTCAGTGTTAGCCCCCACAGTAGCTACAATACGTAGCACCAAAATTATAGATATGCTATCCATGACGTCCTTCTGCCGGGGCATTACACAACAGTCACAATGGGAACAATGCAGATGAGTGCAATAGATTTATGTGATTCCCCACTGCCTTGGTGTAACAGCTGGCAAATCTACACAGGCATAATTTTATGTTAAAGGTAAAGGTAAAGGTTCCCCTTGACATTTTTAGTCCAGTCATGTCCGACTCTAGGGGTGGGTGCTCATCACGTTTTCAAGCCATAGAGCCAGCGCTTGTCCGAAGACAGTTTCCATTGTCACGTGGCCAGTGTGATCAGGAAATGCCATTTTACCTTCCCACCGAGGTGGTACCTATTTATCTACTCGCATTTGCATGCTTTCGAACTGCTAGATTGGTGAGGAGCTGGGACAAAGCGAGGGGAGCTCATTCCCTCGTGTGGATTCAATCTTACAACTGCTGGTCTTCTGACCCTGCAGCACAGAGGCTTCTGCGGTTTAGCACGCAAACAGGATTTTAGCCAGTGTGTTGATATCCCTGGAAGGTATTTAAAAGTTTCCTTTAACCAAACTGGCTTTCACGCAAACATACTTTGGCAAATTAAAAGTGATAACTACTGTATCTGCGGGATGTATCTACAGTGTTGTCCATATTGAATAACACCCCATTTTGTTCTGTGTCACCTAGGCTATTACTGGTATGGCGATAGACAATCACTTGCTGGGCCTGCGAGAGATGGCCCGAGAACACTTCAAGGAACTGCCAGACATATTTACTGATGAAACATATTTGACAAGTAATCGATTTATTCTGTCCACCAGCCAGGTGAGTGAAATTCATATTGGGATTAGTCATTAAAAAGGGGGGGATCCCCATTATTCTCTCTGTGACAGATGTTATGAATCAGTGACAAGCTTTGGAATACCTTGTACTGGTTTAGCAACTCCAACAGCTCTCCAAAATGCACTGATTTCTTGTTCCTTATATTTTTGACAAACCAGATTAATAGCAAATGGTTTTTTATTTGGGTGGCAAAAAAAGGAGGACTGGTGAACAACAGGCCACAGGCAGTCTCTCAAAAAGAGCATATGGAGAGTCCTGCTGGATCTGACCCAGGACCTATCAAGCCAGGCTAATCTCTCTGGATTTCATAAGCCAAATATGTTAGTATTTGGATGGAAGATCACCAGAACATAGTACTGTTCTCCAGCTTTGGCTGTTCTTTAAGTCCCCATCATGTGGTACTTGTACACTTAATGCCTGTGATCCTGGCAGAACCATCATGACTGGTATCCACTGATTGCTATCAAATATCAGCACTACTCTGTCTGTAGTGATCTACAACTCTGTACCTAAAGAAATGAAAATTGTTGTCCTAAGATTCTGAATGTTACAGAAATCCTCTTGCATAATTTATGCCTGTGTAGGTATGATCATATCACTGGTGGAGGAGACTTTTTGGTAATTAAAAACTTCCACCTTTTGTCCTGTGGCTTCCATGGCTTTGACTCAGTGAAACAGATTACTTGTGAGTCTGACAAGCTGTGGCTAAGAAGAGGGAAGTCTCTAATTACCAAAAAATCTTTCCCTGTGGGTGATGTCATCACCCTTCCACAAGCACTGCTTAAACAGATAGATTTTGGGCAGAAAGTGTATATGCTGTTGCATCTTTCTTTAGTTGGTTTTACACGTAATGCTCTGACTGTGCTTAAGCACATGTTTGTCAAATCTGCCTGATCATTTGAGGTGTGTCAGTTCATTTCTGATCATCTCAAGGGAACCACAGAGAACGATGGAGAAAAGTATACAGAAATATCCATGTGTGAATGGTGGGAATTACTTTCCTTACATTTTCTGGCACTCTGACACATACCTATCTTGTCCTACCATACACATGAGACTGGGATGCAATCCTATGCATTCATGTGGGAGCAAGCTCAGAAGTTACTTTTAAGAAGAGTGAGCATAATATCATTTTAGGACCATCCATAATTAACCAGTAGGTGGATGACATTCTGACAGTTAAGTGCCAGGCAAAAACATTTTTATCTATCAAAACAATTTGGCAGATTTTAATGAATGACTCTCTTAAAACCTGTTGATGTCCCTGCATAAATAAGCGACATCTTTGCAGGGTATCTTAGTGTTCCAGCACTGGCGCCTGTCAAACCTATTTGGAAAGGGACATACTGTTACTCACCCCAAACTCTGGAAATAATACACAAATCTGGAGCAGCTGTGTGTATCTGTGCAAGGCTGCGATCCGATACACATTTAAGCTAAGGGTCACTCCTATTGTTAAAACCAATGGCTGTAAATAATCATTCCTACTGTCAAAAATTTGAAGATTATGACACCAGTGTTAATTGTTGTTAAACAAAGCAATTTTAATTTTCAAAGAGCCCTATACTGTCTTATCTCACTGGTCTTCAAAACAACCTTGTCACTTAAATGGATCACAACTCTTGATTTTTACAGATGGAAAACTAAGGATGATTATTTGATCAAAGTCACCCACTATCTGCATGACAAATACAGATTTGATCTTTGCCAAGCACTGTGAGAGCAATTTTGGGAGCCCAAAGAAACCAGTATTCATAGGCTCATCTTCTAAGCAAAACTGATAGCTGTATCAAACATACCTTCTTCTCTCCCACGTCCAGCTCCACCTCCTTCTGCTTCAGACCCTGTAGCAAAGGAATCCCATAGCAATTCCTGTCTCCTGTATAGCAGTCCTCAGAATATGATTCAGCCAATTTCAGGATTATTCTCCAAATTCCATACTAATGTAGACTCACCTACATGGCATAGCAAGAAAAGACCAGTGTTGGAACTTAATACTGTAACACTACATTGTTAAAGGAAAAAAACAGTTAATTAAAAGAAATGTAAAGGGGGGAAATCACAGAGTTGACCTGTTAATTAATTTATTACATGTTGAAATTAAAACTTACCATTTCAATAAATGAGAAATGTATCATTTAAAATTAATTAAAGGACCAGTAAGTAAGTAAAGTAATTGAGTTAAGTAAAGTAACAATCACTGCTCAGAAATATGTTGGAAATAAATAATTTTTTTAAAAAATGAATTGGGTTCACAAATTATTTTTGACAAATAATCACTCTGTGTCTGCTATTCAGTTTGTTGCAGTGGTATAACAAAAACATAAGACCACAAGGGCTTTTGTCATAAGAAGAGAGGCTTCTAATGCAGCGCACAAACATAAAGATCTACTCGGCCATTTGATCTTGTCGTGATGTCTGTGGGTTTTCAGACATGACTGAGCGTAGCCAGAATACCACTACATAAATTCTCCAAGAAACTATCCGTGGGCAAAAAGTGAATCTGAATAGCTTTATGGTCTTCGGCTGTTGCACAGCAAATTTATCTGACAAATCTGTAACTCTATTAGTGGGACTAATGGCCTGTCCAATGCCATTGAAAATGCTAGATGCCTTTTCTTTTCATTTCATTTCTTTTCTTTTTGAAAGCCTGTGTATAACAAAAGACGGAAAGTACAAATTTCTTAACAAACACCATATTTCCTTTAGTATAATGTATTTCATCTTTTTACAACCTGACTGGGAAAACCAAACCTTTCATTGAAAAAGGGTACAGGATTAAGCTAATAGATTCCATCCCAACATACCAATTCCAAGATTTTCCTCTGGCAAATAAATCTTTGAGATTTACAAAAGCCTGTCTAATAAATTGAGTGAAGTCTCAATACCTACTGTATTCAGTATTCAGATTTCAGGAGTCCTTAAGCAACTTGTAACTTGCCAGCACACAAAGAAATAATGAGCAAATCCTGTGCTTTTAAAAGCCACTTCTTTTTCAAAATCTATGAAATAGACAAAAAAATTCTTTGAATTTTGTAGATGTTGGATATTTCATGATGACAAATAAGCTGCTTGCACACACAAAGATCCGGGGTAGATCCAAACAGTTTCATAGAGACTGCGCCCCTCAGTTTCCATGAGACTACTCTAGATATACCTACGTTTGGATCCAATGCTTCAACTTTGAAATACTTGGAATAAATTAAAATGGCCAAATTATTGAAATCATACTGGCCAGGCTCCAAACAACAATGGTTGTCATTCTAACAATGGTCAAGAATTCTAAACAATTTAGGTCTGAGTTAGATAAAATTCTTAGCACATCATTAGAAGCGTAGCTTCCTTGAGAGGTTAAAAAAAAGGCTGTTTCTTGTGTAAGATGCGCTTTCCCTCCCTCTGCATATTACAAATTAGCTTTTGCTCTGGTTGGCTGGTCACTGCAATTGCAAAAAGGCTTTGTTTACAAATTTGATTGTGCAGGGACAGAGGTTTGAAGGAATTGTGTGCCTAGAGGGAAATTTAGGAAACACATATTTCCCTTGTCCCACAGTTTGATTGCCTAATTGGCAGGAGTATCCATTGAAAACTTTCAGAAGGAAAGAAGATGGACGTGGGATGTGAACTGATCCCATACAACTTGTATTATTCCATCAGAGAATATTGACAGCTGCCTAGATGGCACTCTCAATGACAGCTCTCTTGGGTAGGGCTGAAGGTACACTGCAACATTCTACTGCAGTTCATGTTTGTGAGTATTATCCTCCACTGCCTCCCGGAGTTTTATCAAATTCATGTTGGTTGCTTTGATGACACTGTCCAACCATCTCATCCTCTGTCGTCCCCTTTTCCTCTTGCCCTCACACTTTCCCAACATCAGGGTCTTTTCCAGGGAGTCTTCTCTTCTCATGAGATGGCCAAAGTATTGGAGCCTCAGCTTCAGGATCTGTCCTTCCAGTGAGCACTCAGGGTTGATTTCCTATATATATAGTGTGTGTGTGTGTGTGTGTGTGTGTGTATGTGTGTGTGTATACATACATACATACATACATACATACATACATACATACATACATACATACATACATACATACATACATACATACATACATACATACATATTCCTAGCCGTGTGTGTGTGTGTGTGTGTGTGTGTGTGTGTGTGTGCTGCTTCAGATCAAGACTTATGGTCATTGGGTTATTTTGACACCACTGCTGACCTTTAACACAACTGTCTTTCTTTGCTCCTGGACAAACAGGTTCCAACTACTATGGAAATGTTCTGCTGCTACGGGCCTGTGATCCCGAATGGCTATGGTGCCTGCTACAATCCACAGCCAGAGCACATCTTGTTCTGCATTTCAAGTTTTAAAGACTGTAAAGAGACGTCCTCCAGCAAATTTGCGAAAGCCGTGGGAGAAAGTCTCCTGGATATGAAAGAGCTGTGCCACAAATGCAACGTGACTCAGACAAGCAGCCCAGCTAAACAAGCAGCACCTTCAACATCTCAGCTGGGCCGTAAGCAGTAACTGGGTGTGCACTGTAACCTTCCCTTTCCTCTCTTTTGCAGCTGCTTCTTAAGGTTGAATAACATTGCTGGGCAAAAGCAAGCAGAAGACAAGACCCTTGTTCAGTCTTTCTGGATCTGGCACCCCCCGGGTAATCCTGGACTGTCATTCCCATCAACCCCAGCCAGATTGTTGGCTGTGGGTGATGGGAGTGGCAGCCAAGCACCTCTGGAGAGAAGGCTGGCCTATTTGTAGAGAAGAAATTGCCCTAAGCTTTTCCTTTAGCTTAGATTTCTACTGATATTTATCAAGATGGCCTAAAAAGGAAATCTTGTATATCCAGAAAGAACAAAGAAAAGTCCTTGTGTTCCCCAAGGTTTCACAAATGCAAGAGTGGATGATGCCTTTTATTGGACCACTAAATATTTACAGCACTACTAAGCCTGAAAACGTAGAATTTTATCGACAAAAGTTTGCAATTTGTTTAATTCTTTTGTGGTCCAATAAAAGGTACCGCCCATGCCTACAGTTGTCTGAAAAGCAAATGTTTTGGTTTTGCACAAGAATTAATGAGAAATGGGACCATGTACAAGTCATCTCAATGCATGTTTGGAAATATGCACTTAAATAAATAATAGTATTTTATGAATATTGCAGGTAAGTTGCAATACAGTGGCCAAGGCATGCTCCCATTTCTTGGAAGCCAAATCTTCCCTTGTGGGAACATCTCTATCAATTTACTCTTTTAAGGCTCCCACCATGAACCTTCTCACCCTCCACCTCTCAGGTATGAGTGAGGTACAACTACCGTAGACATGGCTGCTGCGGAAGAAAGTTACAGTTTGATACCACTTTGATAGTCTGGGCTTTCTTCCATGGAATCCTGGCATTTGCAGTTCAATGAGAATTCTTTGTTCTAATGCTCTAATGCGTATCCCAAATGATAGCAGAAAATTTTTAGTATCTCATCAGCCTACAAATGTCAGGATTCCATAGGTTGGAGCCTTGGCAATTTGAAGTGCTATCAAACTGCTGTGACTGTGTCACACAGATACATTTCCAGTCTTGTTGCTCCACATACCACTTGATCTCTTGAGACCTGATACAATACTATGGACAAACTGCTTTGGATATGGTCCCAGATTCAAATCCCCACTGAGCTGTACAGTTCTGTGGGCGAGGCCTTCCATTCATTCTCACCATCATCTGCTACAAATTCTCCTGAAATTCAAAAGCGAATAGCCCCATGCAACACTGTACTGTATTGGAAGAAAGTTGGAGATTTGTCTCCCCCAGATGTACTAGACTGCAGTTCTCACTATCTGCAATTCTGATCCCAAACATTTGGAGAGCAATAGGTTGAGGTAAATTCAATGAAAAACTGATGTGGGAATGTTTTTAAAGCATGAGGAACTGTTGTTAGAGAAAGCTAAAAGGCACAGAAGCCCTCATCAGGCATTTCAAATGGGTGGTGATTAAATATGTGAGGACAGGGAATGTGCAGCAGAGGCTCCTTTGTGGTGGAGCAGGATCTCTTTGTGGCTAGGAAGAAATCAGTGTTCCTAATTTCATAAGCAGAGGAGACTCAGCTCCTCAGAAAATCACTCCCCACATGCAGAGGGCAACGGGGGGGGGGGCAAGGTGAGTGGCCCTCCACCTCCTTATGGGCCTAACCAGCCTTCAGCCTGAATGCCTCAGGAGGGCTGAAGAGAGAGGAGCCCTGACCTGCATGCAGCTAAAGGGCCTTTCTGAATCACCTCGCATTAATTATTTTATCAATTAGTAAGAAGATGAAATTCTGCTTTTTAAAAAAACTGTCCTCAGGTAATACAGCATTTGAAACATATTTTCTTCACTGTTAGGGATAGATAATTTTTTCAGGTTTTTTCCCCTAAATGGAGAGAAATATCCTAACCCAGTGATGACAAACCTTTTGAGGCCAAGTGCCCGAATCACTGGGCATCCTCCGGAGGGCAGCCAAGGGGTGCCTTTTCCCCCTCCTCAAATATAGGCAGGACCCTCACCTGGGCTTCCTGGGCTGTGCTCTGCCCCACTTGCCCGTTCTCCTGCGGTGCTGGAGGCACAGTCAATGGGCAGCCGCGGGGGGCAGCTGAGTGCGGCTCCTTCTTTGCGTCCTCCTCCTCCTGCCGCTGTCCGATTGCCTCCTCCAGCACCACTCGTGGGGGTGAAGAAGTCCGGTGAGTTCGATCTGAGCCCGACAGCGAGTGCCACCCTGCCCCTCCCCAGGCCGGCATGGGTGGTGGTATCGGCATGGCTCGTGTGCCGACAGAGAGGGCTCTGGATGCCAGCTGTGGCACGCGTGCCATAGGTTCACCATCGCTATCCTAACCTGTTACTACATCTAATTTCAATTGGGGGGAGGCAGCAGGGGAGGTGCTGTGCATCAGATGGCATGTAGACCACTTAAAATGCATAGCTCAAATACAGAACATATGTTTCCCCTGCCAAACACACTCTGGGCCTGATCCCTCGCATCTCCACCAATAGGAATGGGCAAGAAACCCACCTGAAACCCTGGTGAGTTGCTGTCCCTCAGTGTAATTGAGAATGTTAAGCTTGATGGGTCTGTGGTCACGGTCTGGGTGCTTTCCATGTTCCCTTGATAACCCCCTGCTGTCAATATAAATGTCCTATTATACTCTTGGACATAGGCACACAACCCTCTGTATTCTGCGACAACAAAGAACGGTGTAGCACGTTAAAGATGCAGAAGATTGGTTTAAAGAGCTGCTCCTCTTGAAACTGGTCTTTCTTACAGTATCTTTGGACATATCTATGTATGATTGCCATTTTCTACCTTGCTCCCTGCAAGGTGCTCGATAGCTGAAGTTTGTCACGACATTCTTGTGGCTGACCGACTAAACACCAGGGAAATGTTGCCTTGTATAATGCCGTACCTCCGCCTTTTCTTTCTTTTTAAAGACTCCTTGCCACATTGCAGGTTAAATGCTAATGTAGCAGCACAGGCCGTACCACGTGTATCCAGTGATTTAAGCTCTAGAAATGGAAACACAGCTTGACAGTAAAACGACACGTCACTGGAAACTTTAAAATTGAGATGTTGAAATACTTGTGAAGTGCATGTTCTCTACCCAATACAATCTACTAGTTTCTGGTTGAATAGAAACTAGATAGTGTCTCTACTCTATGTATGTAACTTGGACAAAACACACTTTTCTGTGTGGCTAATTCATGCTGTGTGGTTGGTTTCTACAAATATATCTATGAACTCTTCTGTGATCATGTCACATCATGTCATAACTCTGTGACGCGATGTCTGTGTATGTGAATTTCAGGGAGTGTTTAGTACTTGGTAATTCCATATAAAATTAGTCGTATTAGAGCAGTAGAATGCAATGTTATTCTGCACCTTTGATATATAACCACAGCATGTCTATCTATGCAACCTGAATAGCATATTTACACAAGTGTTCAGCTACTCAACGGCAAAACAGGCCTTGCACAAGAACTTTAAGGGGGTTCGTGCACAGATGGAATTCAGAAGTATATTTATTTAGGAGTGAGAGGTCACCTCATTGCTAAAGAAATATTTTTAATGAATTTTATTTTGCCTTGAACATTTTGACCTAAGGAAAGTTGGGCCTTGGCAGCAAAAATAAGCACCTGTTACAAGCCCAACAGCTGCAGAGCACCACTGGATATACAGGAAATGTCCCTGGAAAAGACAGGTTGCATTTCCTCAGGCTGCCTTCGCAGTGTCACAGGAATCCAGGCACATGAAATGTACCACCTGGTCTGGTGCCACTAGGGTGATAGCGGTGGCATGTAGCAGACAGATTGCTTGACTTGGGGTTGGATGGTCCTGAGTTCAAATCCTGAAAATCGTACTGGGTGATGTTAGGGTAGTCATTCATTCATGAGCTAAATTATCCTCAAGTGGTGGTGGTGGGTGTTTGTGTGTAAGGGGTGGGAGAAGAGTCATGAATGTTGCCCTGAACTCCTCAGAGAGAGAGCAAGAGAAAAATATAACCAGCCATCTAGTTTACTATATGGATTGTTGAGTGAACCAGCAAGAGCTGAAATGCAAAGAATGGAATACCAGAACACTCTGCATAATCCATGGTTGTTGACTTAATAGCTGCAATGTTTCACGTTAAGAACTCCTGTTTCATGCAGTATACATGTATAAACACATACACGCAATATGAGCCAAATCAAGCACTTTAATGGAGATTGTGAGAGTGTTTCCCGAAGTTTTCAAGGGATTCATGGGGGGGGGGTGAGGATGTTACTGGGGTGTGTGCAAAGGATCCTGCTCTTCCCACCTCAGTCCAGATGGCTGCTGTGTATACTGGAAGAATCAGACATGCTCACTGTCTTGTGTTAGTGTCGTGTCTCATTTGACCAGGATTCATAAATAAAACAAAGTAATATTCTTTTCATAATAGTAGCATATATGAGACCTCTTTGCTCCTGGACTTATTCCGGTAAGCTGCCGAGATAGAATTAATGATATAACACTTAATGGCAATATATCCCTACTTTTTATATTGTGTGCTACATGATATTTAAAGTTAATATTTTAGCGATATTTTATTTTTATAATATAGTATAGATTTATGGCAAATTGAAGGTGTATTTTTCTCCTCTTTGTTTCTAGCCTGACTATATGTTTTGTGCTTAAAATATATATAAACTCTTCTGGTAGACAACACCCAAGTGATCTGTAAAGGATATTCTGAATTCAAAATACAGTGATTACAAATCTATAATCAATAAAAAATATATATGGCAGAAGATGTGTATGGATTTATTTTATTTTGAACAAAACAACTGCTTGAGCTTCATCTCTTCTGAGATTCAATGGGATCTGGCTTTTTCAGTAGCCAGTATTCACATGTATATTATGGAGGGGAGAGCTTGAAAGGGAATGGTGATTTGGGGGGAGGTCTGTGCTTTTATAGAGCTTGGGACTAGTTACAAGCAGGGATGTACAAGTAACATCTGATTGGGCCTGTATCCAACTATAATTGATGTACAAGTTAGATGGTTTGGAGATGGTCTGAACCAGGTTGCTCTTAGGTCCGTGCGTATGTTTTCATGTTTCCAGTTTTGAGAGGGACTGCAAAGGAGGAAAATGAAAGGCTACCCCTTGAACTAGAGAGTGCTGCACAGCACCATCTGTTTTGGGAGTGCAGTAGCCCTTCAGTGTGTAGGCAAAGTTCCTCCTTCTTTCATTCCTTCCCCAGGAGCCACACATTCTGCTCCTCGCCCACAGTTTGCTACCTTGAAGGAAAAAAGGAAGAAAATCTCCCAACACAGTCCATCTTAAAAGAGATGCAGCACCCTCTCTTTTCATACTTGCATGCAAAATGGCTGCTTGGTTGAGTGGATGGGAATATTTAGAGTCTCATGAGATCCATCCGAGTTTTCTCAAAACAACTGTAATTTTCAATGGAGGTTTAGGTTTCCAGTGAGGCTTCAGTCTTCTGCTCTCAATCTTCTTCTACTTTGGCGCTTCCTTCTTTTGTTACAGCAAACTGGCATCAAGCATTTTTTTTCACATTTAAGCATTTTTAATCCATAATAAAGCAAACTTTAGTGACTTCTGTGGCATATGATCTGATCCAAGAGTGTCTGGGGGCTTCTTGAATTGCCCTGTAGTGCATACAATTATTTTTTATTAGATTTTTATAACACACAAGTAATTGCAAAGCATTCTTCTGGGTGGTTAACAAACAATTAAGGCCAAAGCAGTACAACAATAAATTAAACAATAGCAACGATAATACAATGAAAATACAAGAATAAATCAAATCAAATCCTGTATCATAAGGCAAATGAACCAAGAACATCAACCCACAACTGGACACACAGAAAAGTAGGCAGGTTCATGTGAAGATGCCATTAAAAGCCTCTGTAAAGAGCACTGTCTTGAGCAACCTCTTAAAGGTAGGCAGGGAGTCTGGAATCTGGAAAATTGTCTCAAGAGTGAAGGCTACTAGGAAATCACACCAGGCAGTCTTCATGGAGGAGCATGAAAAATGTGCAGGTTTCTTACCTGTAACTGCGATTCTTCAAGTGGTATTCAATTGGTGTAAATTGATACCAATGAGTTCCTTCTGTGCCTGCACAGATGTCTTTGGAATATTCCAGATCCTAAAAAGAATAAGAATAAGATAAGAATAAAGGAAAAAAATTTTTTAAAAAAATCTGGTATTTGACTCCTGTAAAATTGAACATAATAAATTCAGCATACCCCAAAGCTTGTTGGAAATGTGATGAGGAAATTGGTACATATTATCATATGTGGTGGGATTGCAAAAAGGTTGAGAAATTTTTGAAATTAATTTTTAAGGAAATATGTGATATATTTGGAAAAGGCATTGAATTTAATGCTAAAATTGGTTTATTGTCAATTTTTGACAATGTAGATTTGGATTATTACTCGAAGGAAGACAAGCGCTAGAATATTAATAGCTAGGTTTTGGAAAGACAAAAATGATATTAAATTAGAAGATTGGTATAGTGAAGTATGGGACATCACATTAAATGATAAATTGACTACTGAACTTAAGATGAAAAGAGGGGAAATGAGTTCTAGTATTTTTATACTATTTGGGGTAGATTTGTTGAATTTGTATTAGTGAAAGGAAAGGGAAAAGCCTCTAAAAAACAATCTATACAATTTTGGAAAGGAAATCTGCAATAGGGAAATGAATTCTAATATTTTTATACTATTTGGGGTAGATTTCTTGAATTTGTATTAGTGAAAGGAAAGGGGAAAGCCTCTAAACAACAATATATACAGTTTTGGAAAGGAAATCTGCAATAAAAATTGTTCAATGGGGTCCTGTGGGTATGGGGTTCACGTTAGAATGTAGTCTTAAACAGCACTATTATTTGTATTTTGTTGTTGTAATTGTTTTTGTCTTAAAATAAAAAATATACAGAGCCTAAAAAGTCCATTAAACCACACCCTCGCCACAGCACATGCTCCTTTCTCTTTCTCCTCTCTCTCTCTCTCTCTCACCACAGCACATGCTCCTTTCTCTCTCTCTCTCAAAATTAACCACCACAGAGTTGAGTATCAGCAGCTTTCCTCTGTGACATCAAATGACCAAGAGAATGAACTTACATGCGTCACCATGGTTACTGCGGATGATGCAACTGACACAATAGTATGCCCTGAGCAGGAGAGTCAGTAAGCGCCTGGTGGGCAGTTTTCTCCTGAAGCACCTTTGGAGTGCTTGTAACTGCCCTCCTTTACTTAAAAAGGCAGAGCTTAGCCAAAGTCCACCCTCTTCCTCCTTCAAAGCTTTCCAGGGGCTGCTGACCATCCACTTCCTTTTAAGGCTTTGCTAGAGGTCTCAGGAATGCCAAAAGATGCCCTGGTGACAATCAAATATGGGCCCTACAAGAGCTGTGGTATGGTGGAACACAGGACTTTCCGACTGGAGGGTTTGCAAGGTACCTAGCATGCCTGGCCAGATCAGCTCCACGCTGAGGAAAAGAAATGGAGGGAGGGGTTGGAATTAAGGGCTCAATCCCACTGACAAAAAAAAAACCCACTGGGTTTTTTATTGGGTTCTCTTAATAAAAACACAACATAAATTTTAGTGTATACACTAGATATGTGAACATGTGGAGCACTGTGCCAGGGAGCACGTTTCTCTGCTCCCTTGCCAGGGGTTCAATTTTGGCGGGGCGGGTGTAGGATCAATTCATTGGAGTCAGTTCCATATATGTGGAACACCTCATCTACTTTTTAAAATTCCTGTTGCCAAATAAGGGGAATTGGGAGGAGGGAAAGCACCAAGCTGGCTGAAAAAGCTGGTGCCCACCCAATCATCCCTTCACTTACTTGGTTGCCCCATTTGCTCAATGCTCTCCCAGCCACTCACCAGGTTACCCTCCACCCTTCCTGTCACCCCTCTCACTTGTTGCCCCCTTGGCTCTTGCCCCTTCATCCCTTCACCAGTCTGGTCTCACCCTCTTGTTCTCTAAAGAAAAGAAAAAAGCAAAATGTGCTGCTTGCATACCTCCCCATAGTGCTTAAAGCACTCTCTAGGTGGTTTACAATGTAATTATACAAGCTACACATTCCACCCCCACCCCCAGCAATCTTGGAAGGATGGAAGGTTGAGTGCACCTCAAGCTGGTTTTTGAGGATTGAGCTGAGTCATAAATTTTGGCTGTAGTTTAACCACTGTGCTTTTTGGGGATTGAGCGGAGTTAAATTTTGGCTGTAGTTTAACCACTGTGCAATGAGGCTCGTCCTCACTTGCCCTCTTGCCCACCTCCCACTCCCCCAGGCAATTCTCCCCTCACCCTTCCACCTTCCCCTCTTGCTGCTTTCTCTCTCATCCTCCTCCCTCTCCTTTCCATTCTCCCTTCCACTCCCTATGTCAAACCCACTTGATGGGACAAGGTGGGATTGGTGGTAACGCTGGCAGCAGGGAGATTGAGGTGGCGGCGGGAGCAGCAGCTGCAGGGTGAAAAGACCATGTGACTTTAGCTTGAATATATATAAAGATCCTTCTGCCATTTTATCCCAGCAGTAAGAACAGGTCCGAAGACATGAGTGTGTGGAAGGAGGTGTTGGTAATTTCTTGCTTGGTCAGATCGGATGACCCAAAGGTCCACTCTAGTTCACAGTTTTATGATTCTGTAATTCTGGACCTGGAAACGGCTCTATCTTTCTGGGATTCAGTCTCAGTCTGGCTACCCTTTGTTCAGCCCACAATTGTATCCAATCAACAGTCCAGGTTGTATACAATAGACTGGTATTAAAATTGAATATATGGCCTTATTATCTCTTCATGCAGTGTTGTAGCCAAACCCATAAATCCTTATGAGGGAAAAGATGGCATATAAATAACATAAATAAATAAAAATAATAAATAAATCCGAGCTAGCCCATAACTATGAGGGCTCCTTTTGTTTTCCTACTGGATTATAAATTCATTTGGGAAAATGGGCGAGAAGTCAAAGATGGCCCATAATCCAAGCAAAGAGGGGTCACCCCACACCTTGGGGAAATGCTTCCCCCCCCACTCCCCTAGTTTGTAACACAAGCCACCCACGCGGAAAAACTATGTATAATTCAACAATGTGGCAGCCCAGGAGGAGACCACCTCCTATTTGCATTTTGCAAATCACACTTGCCCATTCAACCTCTCCAGAGAGCATTAACGAGCGGGCAATGGAGTCCCTTCATAATTGTCAAATCATTTGCGGGGGGGGGCAGGGGAGAGAAGAACTCAAGAGAGGCTAGCCTCATTAACTGGGCACCTTGCTGGTAGACTTCCTGTAGCTCTTCGAGAACTTAAATTAAAATTCAGCAATTAAACAAGGAGGCACAGTTGAGTGGAGTGAAACATAGGCTGCTTTAAACAAAGTGGATACATGCTAGCACTTCAAAGCACTCACAAATGTTAAATCATAAGAAACAAGACATTTTCCAAAGATACATAGATTCAGAACAGACAAGAAATGAAGACTGCCAGCTGTAAGTTACACTTGACTTGATGGCACATTATTATATTGATTAATAACAATATGCAAGCCCATGAACATGCCTAACTGACCCTATTTCTAGGTCTTTAAGAATAACCTTAAACCATAAAAACGATTTATAGGTTCTTATTCTAGACACTAGATACACAGGTAGCCTCTGATATGAGTTGGATAGCTCAAAGGTCTGGAGGTGAGGCATCCTCGTATTCAGATCCTACTGACCAGTTTCTACGCTCATACCTCCCCCTGCTAAATTTCTCTGTGCAGAGCAAATCTGAAGGGGCTCAGAAACATGGAAAAGAAAGCAAGGCAACAGAAAGATCATGGTGAGAACCCTGAGTCACTGGCTGTCCTTTGTCTCTAGAGAGAAAGACAATGGATTTGCATCCCAAGAGGTCAGAATTGATACCAGCACACTTCAGGCGACTTCTTCAGACCTGTAGTTGCCATCTTCATACTTTAACTTAGCTTCAGATCATGCGGCTTCATCTAGCCAGAATAATTTTTAGGCTGTTGGGTCCCCCCCCCACCTCAAGCTAAAGAGGGGCTCTTACCATAAGACATAAGAAGACACCAGAAATTTATTTGTCATTGCACTCACAAGTGGGTGCAACGAAATGAGGTGCTCTTCCCCAAGGTAAAACTGGACAACACCACTACAAAAAAAAGTTAAAATATACACAACACTCACCATACAAATATAGATACCCCGTTTCTCCCAGCAATTAAAATTCCACCAAAAACTTATGACCCCGCATTTAAACTCAATACTGCACTTGGGTAGAAGCTGTTCTTGAATCTACTTGTCCTTGCTTTCAATGCCCTAATCTCCTTCTCGATGGTAATAGTTTAAAGAGCTGATGTCCCGGATGAGAGGAGTCTTTCAGCATGTTAGATATCTTCCTCTTACATCTGTTCTGATACAATTCTTTCAAAGAGAGGAGTGAACAGCCAATGATGTTTTGGGCCGTCTTAATCACCCTTTGAATTGCCTTTACCAAAGTGATGAGAGGAGAGAAGCCATGAATTTGTCACTCCTTGCACCCTGCCACCCAAGGCAACTGCCTCATTTGGGCTATTGTTTGATCCTCAACATTAACACTTTCAGAGTATACCTGTCTTTTTTCCATAGCTGTGCTGAAAGCAGACGGACACAGAATAATTCTTGAACAAATACCAGACTGGAATGAAGTGCAGCTCATAGTGAATGGAGAGACGGTATTTCAGTGCAACATCAATGACCTGGATTTTGGTAAGAACAAATGGAGTCATAGGTGTGTTCCCCTCCCATTAGGCAAACCAAGGCAATCACTTCAGGCAGCAGATGCTGGGAGACAGCCATAGCAGCCCCCCTATATAATTATGGGGGTTGCTTGCCATCCTCCTCTCTTGAAGGGCAATGTTAGGTGTTCCACACAACCCATTCTCCTCTCAGTGGTTTGCAGGAAACACTGTCTCCTCGTCAGTGGTCAAATAAGGCCCACCAGCTGGTCCAGCTGGCTTCTGTACACAGAGTGGAAGAGATGTCACCACGTCTATCTCACAGCCAACAAAACGGTCTGCTCTCAATTGGGTTCACTATGGATCTATTCATATGTTGAGGAATGCTCTTATTTTTAAGAAATGAGAAAATGGGGGTGGAAATCCACAGTTTGTCACAAGTCCCATTTGTTTTCTAAACGTTCTCTTTCTCTCAAAGGAGGTGAAGGTGTATTGGACCCGCTCTGCCAAGCAGCAAGAATAGCAGTCTTAAATGCTTACTGAATAAAGACTCAGATGCTATTTTTTTTACCCAGATATACAATAAATGAAATAAGTATGCCCTTCCATCTTCACCGTCATGTTTTGTGAGATTTGACAACATCTAAGAAAGAAAGATAAATTTTTTTCACTGGTCATTATGTCTTAAATCCTGCTTCTCAGAGTATTTCTACCAGGCCCTCTTATATCATGAGAAGCATGGGTGAAAGCACAAAGGTTGAACAAGCAGTTATTTTAACATAGAGAAGGGACACTGGCTGCTCTTGATGGCCATCTGTCGTACACTTTAGAGGGACTCCTTTCCATCCTCAAGTATTTTGTGTGTGTGTGTGTGTGTGTGTGTGTGTGTGTCTGTGTGTCTGTGTGTCTGTGTGTCTGTGTGTCTGTGTGTGTCCATCCAAGTGGAGGGAGACAGGGAGACTAAGAGTGTGACTTGACAGCCAATTTTTTCTAGACAAAACAGGGTCACTATGCCATTTGGGGCAATCCTTGCATCCGCATGCAAAAATGGACCATATCACACCTCAAACAACCCTATTTGTCCCTTCTTTCTCTTTAAGGGGAGGGAGGGAGGAAGTTCTAGTATACAATATTCAGATTTTCTGATGAACAAAAAAATTTCAGCATATATTTGTACTGTAACACATTCATGTTTGCATTTACAAATTCTGAAATTGTTGAATCTCATCTTACTGCACATGTTAAATTTTTCCAAACATAAATTGAATATTTGACAAGATAAAAGACATCTGTGCCACATACCACTCTCTAAACAAACAAACAAGCAGACATTGAGAATATTCCATTTGTAATCACTTTCTACTTAGGAGAGAGATAAAATACAGTATTCAAATACATTTCAAAAATTCCAGTGAAAAGTCAAATTCTTTCAAAACTGCAAACTGCCAGTTAGCTTTATCAAATACTTTTTTCAGCATCAAGTGAGATGTTGACAGGGTCAGATATTTTTAGCATTAAATGAAGTCATGTGTCCCCTTCCTTCACCTCCCTGGTCAATGCCCCCCTTACCAGTTGAAGTGTGTTCCTCCCCTCTTTGGCTGTTCAATCAGTCCCTTGCAGAAGCATGGGTTTACCTGTCCTGCCCCCTTGTCTGAGTGGGTCATCAGACAAGGAGGTGGGCTTGGGAAACCTGTGCTCCTGCCAAAGACTGGTCAACCAGGCAAGGAGGAGGAGGAGATGATTGCGCATCAGCTGGCAAGTGGGGAATCCAGCTGGAGAGGTAGGAGAAGGGAACATGTGGTGCCGTGCGTAGAAACTGGCACAAACCTCTGAACCAAGGTTAGTGCCCATCTCTAGTCTTCATCTTTTGCATATAATGTTGAATTAACATTTCAAATTAATATTCTTTAGTGTGATGTAAAGATCATTCAGTGCACCATTAATCAGTGTGATGTAATTATGACTCTTGTGCTGGTTTAATATGTTTGCTATCAGCCAGGTATCCATTTTCCCAGTATGTCTGTCTTCCAATAGTCTGGGTAGCATCACTCAATAGAATAAAATTACAATTGTGCTGTTTTAATCTTGTTGCTAACAACCAGCCAACTGTCCTTCCATTCTCACAATATTTCTTATCACAAAATTTAGATGAAGTAACAGCACTTGCCATCTGTACTTATGATGCTTTGGAGTTGCTATTTAAAAAGCAAAACAAAGCCAAGCAAAACAAAAATTCAGACAAAACTGACAAATGTAATTAGCAGATAGTTGCTGCTAAACAAAAGTCTTTGTATTGAATTTTGCCTTAACAAGAGAGGGGAAAGGCCCAATCTGTTAACATCTCGCTAGTGACATGGTTAAAAACTGCTTGCATTTTGTTTAAAGCAAACTTCTAGCCTTCATGACTGCCCTGTGCTGGAATTACTGAAATCCTGTTTGCACAGCCATGTTGCAAATGGCTAATGGTGTCATCAGCCAAGGTGATTTTTGGGAAATCAAAAATTTCTGACCCTCTGTCCCAAAAGTCCCAAGGCTGTCATGGAATCCCTTTTGCCCAGGGGGAAACCATTTGGGGGAATGGGACAGGGAGAAATCTTTAATTTCTGAAAATTGCCACAGCCTGAATAGCTTTACTGGTAAATAATTAAATAAATAAATAACTTCTGTGCCATCTCACAACCTCCAATGACTTCCCTACAATGAAAAGAATTCCATAGGAGCCTCAGGTCCAGGAGGCTGAAGTCTGCCATTTTTTTATTTCCAAACAATCACAGGTGACAGCATCAGCTTTATGCAGAGTAACTTACAGAACAGGATTTCAGCTAGTGTATCTTACATTCAAGATATTAGAAAACAGAGAAAGAGAAAGATTTCTATATCTATATATACACAAAAAGGAGGATCAAATTGTTTTGAACAATCTGAGATGGTGCTGTCAGTTCTTAGTCAGCAAAAACAGCCATCTACCCCACTTTATGTTTTGAATGTTGGCAAAAACAAAACAAAAACCCAGAAGGTGTGACATCACATTCCTCACAACATTGTACTGGGAACAGAGAATCAAAATTTAGAAATAATTGGTAACAAATACGTATTCGCTTATAATTAATTATTTTTCCCACTACCAAAGATTCAGGTAGGTGTATGATTGCACCTTGATGAGGGATAAGTTCACTCCCTTTGCAGCAAAAAAATTGGTTCACTTTTATAGTTAGGAAGGTTTCAGCTGACTATGCAGTGAGAAACAGGATTTCAAGTGCTGGTTTATGCTGCTACCTTATGCTCTGCTTTGGGCACTGAAGCTTGATGGGAGAAGTGTGTTTTGAACCACATGCCATCAGCTTCAGATTTTTTTAAAAAAGTAAAAAGTAACAGTAGCTACTCTGACAATGTAAAACTTAAGACTTCCTTTTTAAAAAAGGTAACCATAATGGTAACTCATTTGGGGGGCCTGAAGCTGACACAGCATCCATTTATTTTTCCTCGGCAACATTCCACACTACAGAGAGAACATGTGCCAACTGTGGGTGGCATATAAATTAAATAAATAAATAAATAAACAAACTGGTCATGTTATCCACCTGCCTCAGAGACTAAACATTATGAGGGGGAAATTGCTTTTATCTTTGGGCTATGATTGCAATAAAGGCTGCATGTGTCTTTAGTTCCCCCCCTTTTGCATTCTGGGAAAGTCTGGTAAAACCATCAGAAAAATCTGAAAGGTTGTTAGCATATATTAGGATAGAAACAAATCTGACACCACCAATACCCCCATTTGATTCTGCCTCCTTTGTTTAGAAATTTTATATATATTCTCTGAATACTTTAATATTTACTGAACATTCAGCAATTGCTTTTTATTCTTATTTCACATCCTGTATTATTTTCTGAACTTGATGTTTGACCTTATCTTACAGCACTGCTATTATTTTTAAACCCGACAGCACTTGGTGTCAAGGAACGGTATTTAATAGATGACAGTGTGTATTTCATATTTGTCATAGGCCAAAACAAAAGGAGCCAACAAGTCACAAGCACCTGAATTCTATGACAAGACATCACAATGAAAATCTAAACAATTACATTAGAAATTACAGTGTATCATAAATACTTATGTCAGATATAATATGCATCAGTGCACCTGTGACTAAATGTAGGGGGCTTCCTTCTGAGTATCAATGCATACAACTGGGTTGTTAGTGTATCTATGAAAGAAATCACTTAAAACGTCCTAAATTAAAGAATGTCTGAACTAAAGATTATCCATAATCTATGGTGACAAATGATGCCTGCCACTAGGGGGACAGTGTCAATTAATGGCCGGTGTCTTGTGACTAATACCAACTAGGTTAGACTCAGCTACTCTTAGCAATATTGGTGTCTTGTGACTAATACCAACTACTGTAGGTTAGACTCAGCTACTCTTAGCAATATCATATGGGCCATTGTGTCGTAAACAGAAATTTAAAGTTCAAAGATGAGCTGGTGATTGTCTGTGATTAGAGATGGTTTTTGGGGATTTTTTGTATTGTTTCGAATGGCAACATGCAGACGTCTGCTGGAATTGCCCCAGCTAGAATTCTATGGGGGTCTAGCCTCCCCGGTGTTTCATAAATTTCCTGAGAGGCACCCGGCATGGGGTGCAATGGGCTGGAGTGTTATCGAACATCTGAGAGGGTTTGTGGTGGGAGTAAAGCCCTAGAATTCCAGCAAATGTCTCGGTGTGGTTGTTTAAAAAAATTCTATCCCTGTATGTGATAAATGCCCAAGTTTAGATATGCCTCAGGAAACAGAAAATTCCAGTCCTATATACACGTAGCTGGGGATAAGAACCACTGAATTCTGTTGGTGTTTCTTCTGAACAGACATGCATGAGATTTAAAAAGGTAAGTCTTAAATATATGTCCAAGTGACAAAGTTTAATATAATTCAACTGTCCAGAAGGAACTGTCCGTTCAGCGGGAAATAGTCAATGAATGTCTGAAATGTCATCACCATTGACACAGTAATATATTTGCTAATTTTTAAAAGAAATGGGTACCATTTCAACAGTCCATATTCTTTTTCTCTAAGTATGGAGCTCTTGTGTTTAAATCCATTTTAAAAAAATAAAACACAGTTATGGACAAAATCCAAAAACAAATCCTGGTAATACCTCTATTGCACCATGAAAATATCCTATACAAGTGAGCCTCCAAGTCTTGCAAGACTCAGAAGTTTGCTTGTTTATGATACTGTATTGTAGCAGTCACACAAAAGGTTTGGGGTTTATATTTGAAAGGTTTCCCAGCCCTGTCAGATGTTTTATATAATTTTAGCCAAAATTGGCTAGAATCCTGCTACTTAGTCTAGTAAGTCACACTAGTCCGGTTGAATCAGGGGGGATTTGGTGAATACCTTGTAAGTTCCATGGATTCAAATGGATGTGCTCTAGTTCATTTGAATTACTGGAATGTACAGAGGGGCTGACTCACCAAATCCCTTCTGATTCAATAGACCTACTCTAAAATTAGTTATTATGCTAAGCAACAGGATTTCAGCCACTCCCAGTTATTTAAATAGCAGGTATGGAAATAAAATACAGCACCCAGAGAAACTCTATGCAAATAACTCACCTATGTCACAAACGCCCATGTAGCTGAGAATATACTGAGAACCGGTCTTGTGCTTAGTAACCATCAACAGCAAGAAATTCTTGCTCCTGCCCAGATCTTTGGGAGGACAACAATGACTAGAGAGTACAATAACTGAAAAACAGGTCCACAACACTGTATGCAGTGTTTGTAAAAGGCATTCATTTTGTGATCAATATAATAAGTGGAACAAAGATTCATTGAAAAAGCAACACTTAATGAAAATCTCAACTTCTCTGGGACTTTTACCTCAAAAATTCAATCATGCACATTGACTCCCGAGTGCTCCTGTTACTTCAGTGTGCCTGGTCTACTCATTATGGGCAATGCAAAAGGATCTCCCAGTCTGACTCACAAACATCAATATGAAATATCCAGCTAATATTTCACTAGCAGGTTGTCCTGATGCTAAACATCTGCATTATAAAATAAACCAGTGGATATTCTTTGTCACAATTTGGTAAAAATATAAACAGTAAAGGAAGCAGTTGGTGACAACTTTAAGTTAGTTTAGGAGCATCCAGTGGTTTCGTCATGATCCTTGTAATTTGTAAAGCTAATTCTGAAGCTTCCTGTGGTCTGCAAGAACTTTGACACTGCTGTTTCAGAAACCTACGTGTCATCCTCTCTTGGGTGTGTAAGACATTGTTGTGTTCTTTGGATCTCAGTCAGTAAACAGTTAATAATGCTTAATGATCATTTTATCCCAGGAGGGAAAGAAGGATATGGATATATATGTAAATATAGCTGCTTTAAACCTATACAGTGGTGCCTCGCATAGCGAATGCTTCGCTATGCGATGAAACCGCACAATGAGGGGTCCCGGGCCATCGCTGGAGCGTTCGCTCAGCGATGGCCCCTATGGGCTTTTTTCTCTATGCGATGATCGCGCGGACGCGATCAAAGCATAGCGAACAGCTGATTGGCGGTTCCAAAATGGCCGCCGCTAAAACAAAATGGCGACCACTGTTTTGCCTCGCTAACGAGGCATCCAAAATGGCCACCGCAATGGAGGAAACTCGCAGAACGGTGAGTTTTAAGTCCATAGGAACGTATTAAATCAGTTTTAATACGTTCCTATGGGCTTTTTTATTTCACTTAACGATGGATTTGCTGAGCGAGGGTTAATCCGGAACGGATTCGCCTCGCTAAGCGAGGCACCACTGTATTTTAATCAATAAATCCTATATGCAGTAGGATCACCATATATGTGAGATCAATACCCATTGTTTATCTGCTACCAGAAAATATTAAATAACACCCCCCCTCCCGAAATATGAGTTTCCAAGGTATATTACCAGAACTAGCCAATAGAAGGAACCTGAGATTGTGCTACATATAAGGTTTTTATATCCACACTTTCTGGCACCAATTCCCCCATGGATACTGCGGTTCTACTGTACCGTCAGACAGATTTCTGCCATAGTGTCCAGTGCAATATTCTGTGACAGTTTTGAAATATTGAAATACTCAATATTCTGAGTATTTCAAACTAAAATAATTCTGTTCCATTCATTTTTATCCCATTTTTCTTCTAAGGAGCTCTGGCCAGCATTGACAGCCCTGTCTCACCAGGAGGTAGATAAAACTGAGAAAGAGTGACTAGTATAAAGGCATTCTGATGAGGGCCACATGGGGATTCAAACTCAGAACTGCTCAGTTTTGTCTACTATACTGACTCTTTTGTGTGGCGGATCCCATATATTGAGGAGTGTTTCATCAAAGAAACAATTCCTAACAAGGCAGTTCAACAATGTTCACTCAAATAAGAACTTTAAATCTCCAAGAGGTCCCACAAAATGTACAAAGAATTGTGTTAATTGAATTGCTTTATAGCTTTTATATCTTGGCTAATTGTCTCATTAAGGCACATTTCTCATTGCCAAAATGGATCTGAAGTATTCCTTATTGTTGAAGAAAATCTGTCATTAGTGCCTTCCCTCAGTCCTTGGAACCATTTGCAGTGGGAGAGGGAAACTCTTAGGTATTTGCCAACTGTGCAGCAATCAACAGCCAAGTGGGCCTAATGGCAGAATAACACAATAATTACAGTTGTTTCCCCTTTTCACGTCAAACTCTCACACAAGAAGATAATGTAATATATTGTACTTTCCTGATCTCTCAAACTAGCAATTGCTCTAAGTGGCAGAAATAGGGTGAACAGGACAGACACTGGATGGAAGTGGAATACAACATGGCATGTCAACAGAGGAATCATTGACTTCTTTGTTAACAGAATACTTGCTTCACTGAGATCTATCCTGTGTCAAGTACATGGCAAGACATTCATAAGACATATACCATTATAAAGGAGGAGACAAGACAGTGCATTGTAGAATTACCTCTCCTAACATCATTTTGTAGTTTTTCAACACTAGGTATTTCCATTTTCAGTGCATCCTCACATCCCAAATTGGCCATGTTGCCATTGTAACTGTTGCTGAAATATTGCACACTATTGTATCTTCTTCTCCATTCTATATATTGGACTAATTTGAGTAAGTCACAATTTACTTGAAAATACATGTTGTTTGGAAAATTCATCTTGGGCACATCACATTCATTGTGAGCTTGAAGTCATCCATTACCAGATGAGTCTTATTAATTCTATATTCTGAATACTGTGTGATAGGTCTTCATTAATAACCATATTTTATATTATTTGCAAACCTACTGATGGACACTTACTGACAGATAAGTATTTTTAACATTCAATATATTCGCGAAGGCTTTCACGGCTGGGATCTAATGGTTGTTGTGGGTTTTTGGGGCTCTTTGGCCGTGTTCTGATGCATATTATGTCAAAGAACAAGTAATACAAGGGATGATATGCTGGCCTTTGGATATTCTTTTCAACTTTAATACGTTTCGAATGGCTTCTAGATGTAGGAAAGGTGTAGGTTTGCAGCAGCAGTCAAGAACATTCACTGGCTGATTGTCCCGGTTCATAAAGAAAAATGCTTGTAATATATACTGAGTGAAAATTTAAAGTTCCAGTATCGAACGTCCATCTTTAGATGCAGTACCTAAAGCAGTGGTGTCCAACCTTGGCCCTCCAGATATTCTTAGACTTCAACTCCCAGAAATCTTGGCCAGCAGAGGTGGTGGTGAAGGCTTCTGGGAGCTGTAGTCTAAGAACATCTGGAGGGCCAAGGTTGGACACCACTGATTAAAGCATCTTGTGACAGCATTAGGGAAATGATGTGTCACTTTTCATGAATCATCTTGTTCATCACTTAATGGAACACAATAACTTTCATAGTAGTTCACCCTACTTTCATCAAATATGTTCACCTGTTATGAAATTCACCATAGGAAGGACACAAAACACATGGAATACAGTATTTGCTTTCTTCAATGCAGTAAAATGCTCTTAATGGGTCTATCTGAGGAAGGAACAAGATGAAAAACCAGTCCAGAACTAAAATCATAGGATGGATATAGCAGGGAATGAGTGGTGAGAAAAGCACTTGTTCCTTGTCATAGATCTGGCTACATCCAAGCTATGCAGTGGGCTATATGCTCTCCCATTTCAGTAGTTTCTATTTCTGTTGAATTTTCTCCTTTATCCATACAAGCTGACAGAGCAGAATCTATCCCACTGACTCAAATGAGGAAAGATCTACAGACAACTAATTGATGTGAGGAAAGGAAGGCACATATACAGTTGTCAACTAAGTTCCACTATTGTGTCCAAAAACTAGTTTCCAGAAATACTTATCCAACAGTGAACTGAATCATTGTTATGTTGAACTAAGAAGTTGTATGTATGGAAAACTTTCCATTAAAATATATGAGGATTCTTTAAGTCATCATGCAGCAAGTGACAACTAAAAACGGGATGAAATTAACTCCTGTAAAATGCTGGTATGTATGATGAAAATTGATTTTGGAATTTGTGAAGACAAAAGTTATGTGCCAAGAATTACTATAGCACAGTAATTACCTCCAGATGCTATGTCAGCTATTTTACATAACTTACTAAATGCAATCTGAAGGACAGAATCTTGGTAGATCCCAGGTAACCTGGCAAAAACCTAGAGTTTAAACCGAATAAGTAGCCATTGACAACTTTGTATATGATTCCAACCAGAAAACCTGTTGAACTTCCAAAGAATTAAAATAGAAATATGCAGTCAAAAAAGGAAATGTGTTTGCGTATTTGTGCAGTAAAACGACTTTTAAAAAATTTATATTATGGCAACATGTTTCAGTCATTGTCTTCTTCAATTGCTATGAAAGAAAGAAAATGGTAGCAGGTTTTTGCCATGTTGTCTGAGATGTACCAACTCTGTATTTAGCTCAGAATAAAATAACTTTATTCAAAGCAACAGAAGACAGAAGCTAAAACATGTTGCCATAATATGTCATTTTTTCTGTTTTGTTAGTCACTCTATTAAATATGTGCATCAGCAAAGGTGGATCAGTACAATCATATAAGCCCTTACCCCACTTTAGCAGCCTCCTCATCATGTGTTTGGTCTGGACTGCTTCCAAGAGTGGCCATGCAATCAGACACACAACAGGGAGCTTGCCAGAATGAGTGAAACACTTCCATAGTTGCTCTCCTGCTCTGCATCCACTCAAGAGACTGTTTTAAGAGATTAACTGCATCCTCTTGGATTGAGCACAAACCAGTTTCTAGTGCTGTTTGATGCTTTTAAAAAATATTCTGGGCACAATCCTGGATCAACAGAGTTTGTTCAAGGAATTGTACTCCAACAGCTAGTTCCTTCCACCACATTAAATCCCATACCTTTCAAATGAAAGGAACAGAAAAATACAAGACGACCAGTAGATGGCAGCCTTTTTGTAAATAGGATGTTAATGCCTATCCCCCAAAGAGAAGCTGTCATAAAACAACCATAAATAAAAGAGACTTTTCATTCTACTGTTTATTTCTCACATTATTGGACAGAATTTATTTTCTAAAATATAATGCTAAATTCTACAAACAACAATGAAAATGGAAGCCTGCCATTTCCCACTTTTATGTTTATGTTAATTTTTGTCACTAAATTTCTGCGTTCCTAGCCACAAGAGCATTTATCATTCAAAAGGAGACAGGAAATGTTTCAAGTTACACTGAAATGGCCTTCCTTGTACAAAGAGAGCAAAATATATAGACCTAGTAACTGCACCCAGACCTTCTCCTTTAAATTTATAATTTGTTTTTTAAAAAATAATGTTTTGACTTTGGACTGTATATAGCATAAGCCTAAGTGTGTTTGCTCAGAAGGAAGTTCTATTGTGTTGGATGGTGCTCAGGTTAAGTGTGCATAACACTGAAAATGAAACTATTTCATTAGTTGCATTCAAAACTAAATGAACATGGAACACGCCACTGGAAATGCCAATGTATTTTAGTGCTGACTAAGAGCAGACCAAACAGACATAGTAACATTGCCTATAGAATTCAAATATTACATATACCCACTGTACAGACTGTTATGACTATTCTGCAGCATTGAGAACTTCAAGAAGAATGCTTCAAGTAGTTCAGAAATAAACCTAATGCTGGATGTGCTCAGTTGTTGTGTAACGCTCATGAGTTTTAAATAGCAAAGTAATTCTTTGCAACATTATGAACAACAGCAGCAAAAGGACAAAGAGAGACCTCAGTGTGAATTACAGAGATGTCAGTTGCTGTTTCACCAATGATAAAATGAATGCTAGGCCATGGAAGGGGACTGGTGTTGAATGCCAATGAGGCTGCACCTACTGACATCACCCAACTCCTATCGTGACAAACTAAATGCATCAAAGGGCAAGTATAATGCAGGGCTGGAGCTCTTGCTGGCACTCTAATATTCTTTTGCAAAGTTCTCCAAGCCCCTAATGGGGAGAAAAAGGGTATTTTAAAGATCCTGGTATGTGTTCCTGCTCCAACATCTGTCATTAACACAGGGTATTGGTTTTGAGAAGAGACTGACAGAAAGGGTAAATGTGGCTGCTCCTTTCAATCTGTTCACCTTTGGACCACAGAGACCCATCAATCTGAGTTTAACAATCCTATATTTTAAAGACATAATCACATGGCTATTGGGAAATTGAACGTTTGGATTTTTACCTATAGGCTGACAGAATTTCCCCCACTGCCTAAATGGGCTCCTAGGGAATATATCTTCTCTCTCACTGATACTAGGGACATGTATTTTTCATGTTTTTTCCTGACCGTTCTTCTAGGGAACTCAAGGAAGCATATGTGGTTCTCTCTGCTCCTCCTTAAATCCCTCTCACAACAATTTGTGTATAAGACGAAAGTACACAGAAGAATATTATAAGATTGTTGCTTTTCTATAAGATTTTCACTGTAGTCTCTTCATTCCAGCTTTATAAAATTATAGTCTAAATTAATGGAAAACTGCAGTTGTGGAGCTTGCCATCTAACAATGACATTTGGAATATTTCTAGTGTACCACTCTGCTTTGTTAGCATTATTTCTACTACTCCTAGCGTTGGGATGTAAAAAAAATCATTAAAATATAGAGACTGGTTCATTCAAAATATAAACTGAAGGAAGGAAACCGTGTTTACTCTGTGTCTTCATTCAGAGGTAGCTGCACTGTAATCCATAAAATCATTTAACTGGAGGAGAATTAAGAGGCAATCTTAGAATTCACACTAAAACAACAGTTTAAGAGAGATGAGCTCATTTGCAAAAAGTCCCTACAAATTCTGAAGTAATTTCCCACTATTTTTAATTTCCTTTTAGGATCATGGTATTTCTAAGATATAGTACATAAATGCTAAACTACAGATGGAGAAGATGGGACCATTATATTAAAGTCAAAACATTTTTCCTTCAAATGCCTCCAGGTTGAAAGCTGTATCTAAAAATCTTCTGAGTGACACCAGATGAGTGTTCTTGTTGCCAGTTGCTGGAGCAGCAGCAGGTTCACGGCCAACATACCTGGAGACAGACAAGATAACAAGGTAAGATGACAAAAATGCAATAAAGATATTTTTGGAAGCCTACATACAATTACAATTTTAAAAAAGCACTTTTGCTCCAGCTATTTAAGAATAGTTGTTTATATATGAGAGAAGCTGGTAATTTCTTGCTGTAGACAGCGTTGGCTCAGTTTACTTGCTTATGTTATCTACTTGCTAGACTGTGAAAAACTAGTTCAGCCAATTTGTCATATTAAGTTGCACTAACTACAGTAGCACACTACAGTGGTGCCCCGCATAGCGATGTTAATCCGTTCCGGATTAATCGTCGCTATGAGGAAACATCGCTAAACGGAATGGAAAAAGCCATAGGAACGCATTAAACTTCGTTTAATGCGTTCCTATGGGGCCCAAACTCACCGTTCAGCGAAGTTCCTCCATAGCGCCGCCATTTTCGCGTCCTCGGTAAGCGAGGGTAGGGCGCGAAAACACTTGCGGTGGCCATTTTGGGCACCCGGTGGCCATTTTGGAACCACCGATCAGCTGTTCTAGGAACATCGCAATGCGAAGATCGGTAAGCGAAACGCTTAGCGATCATCGCAATGCGATGTTTTACCCATTAAAACATCGCAATGCAATCGCATTAACGATCTAAAAAAATAGATTGCTATGCGGATTCGTCGTTAAACGGTACGCTCGTTATGCGAGGCACCACTGTATATATATAGCATAGTCTCTCGCTCCCTCTTGTGGCCAATTTTGGTAATAAACCTTGGAAACACAAATTTCAGGGGGGTGGCATTTAATATTTTCAGGCAGTCAATAAGTGAAACTCAAGGTACTGATCCCGCAGACAAGGTGGTCCTATGGTATGTCAAGATCTGTGTGTTTTAGTATTTAAAACACCCCAAGACTCTTTATTGCTTTCTCTGCAACAAACTAACATAGCTACTCTTCTCAATAATCCGAAAAAGACAGAGAACCATTGTCCAAGGTCCAGAATCCCATACTTTGGATAAAGCTACTTCTGAAACCACTGCTACTCAAAAGTCAGAATGCTGGCTTGTTCGGGAAGCACAGATGGAAAAATCAATGCCTTCTCTCCAAAATCTAAATCTTGGGATGCTTCTTGGCACTGCACAAAAATCCAAAAAAAACAAAGCTGTTCCACATGGAAAGAAGAACAATGCAAACACTTTACCATATAGGTCGAGTATGGTTCACAATGGTACGGAAACGAGGCTTGACATAATCATAAAATCCCATATTCTTGTGTTCTTCTTGACACCACAAAAGATCAGCTTTGGCATACTTCTCAATTTCCTCTTTGAGCAAATCAAAAGGGAAAGGGGAGATCTAGAGAAAAATGTAAAGAATTCTGAAATACATATATGTCAATAGAGTGCAACAAATATATCTTGGCTCTCAAAAGTACATGTTGTTTCTGAAATCTTCAAGAGTTTTGTTTGCTCTGTTTCAAAACTAATCAACATGAGATGAATGTTCCAGACAAGTGCATAAATTGGAACACAATTATCTTTCTGATTTTGCACTACTCCAAATATTATGATACAATTCTTAATTTAAAAAACCCAAAATGTACAGTATATTGTATGATAAAATATATTTAGATATGGGCACGTTGTGACAAGTTTTGTTAAAACACGTATTTCAATTTATTCTTTCTTGTGGATTTTTTAAAACAGCAATCCTTTAAATTAATGACCTTATGAAGGGACACATGCAAAGCAGACACAGCCTGGAAATACATAGCTAACTGCTAGCATGTGTGATACTTCTTGAAAAAGTAGTAATTTTGTATGTAGATTACGGTACATTCCAAACTGGGAATGTATCCCAGAGTATCCTGATCTAAAGGTAAATGCTACTTTTCTCTCCCTTGTTACAAGTCACACCAATGACCAAAAGCAGAAACCATCAGCACGTGTTCAACCTCTACTTCAGTGCAAGAAATCTTATTGTTGGTTTAGACTTAGATGACCCCTTGCTGGCATCAAAAGGAATCAAAACTCTGCCACAACAGCTTTGAACAAAGTATATGGCAGAGTATGTGAGAATCTTCAGGACATTTTCACAAGCAAAGCCAAAAACAATTCCAGTTTACAGTACATTATCTGTTAACATTAGGAGGCAGAATGAAAGCAGAAGAGAATCATTTTCAGATCAACTATACATTCTAGTCAATACACATTCTAGTTTATAATTTCTAAATGAAGGAAATGGCACCATTTCACCATCATGTGGAGGCAGCAGCATCAGAATATCCCCTTTGAGGTAGTAGACCAATAAATATTATCCTTATTTCATGAACAAGGGAGAAATGTTTTTCCAATTCTGTCAGGTAAGATTTCAATCAAGGTAGCCTGTTTCACAGTCTTATGCTCCAGTTACTAAATGCCCCTTATTTTGGTTAAACAATACTGTCATGTTATTAAATTTCCTATGGCACTATGCAAATACCTTTGCCATTCTTATTAACATAAAAGGGCTATGACTGTTAATTCTCAAAACATGGAAACCTGCCCCTCATTGGCATGCACAAGTTAGATAACAAATTGTCACTCTTACCTGTTCCAATCTGGTTATAGCCACCTCTTTCTCCAAATCCTGGTTCTTCCTTTCTTTAACAAGGTCATAGTAAACCTTCCCAGTGCAGAAAATCACTCGTTTTACCTCACTAGGACTTTCAGCTGGGGGTCCTTCCTCAGGAATCATACGCCTAAATCTGGTCCCTAGATATACAACACAAATGTTTTACTCCAAGGGACATTGTCTATTCATGGTCTGTTGAAAGTCAGACTTAGGTCAAGTGGAGTTGTAGTAAACAATGAAAAACCACAGTTTCCAGTGTTCACTGTGATTTCTTCCTCTCCATAGTATTGGACCTCCTTTGATTAATTAGACTAGCACATGTTATTCAGGAAATGTGGTGTTCAGTCTGTCCTGTGTGAAAATGCACTCTTGCTTAGGAATCTGCTTCATAATTTGGAGGTACAGTTAGATCCTGGCTTTGGAAAACCAGTGACTGTTCTGGCAAATAGCACTGTTTATTATTAGTTGTGGTCCTTCTGAGGCAGGAAACATCAGGGGCTACAGTACCTCCCATCCTGGCAGAAAATTCCAACCAAATAGCACCAGGGATGAGGCATTTAAAAACATTTACCCCAAACTGGTTGAAACCAGCTGTCAGCTCACCTTAAGCAACATTCCTGGTGGATCTCTGCTATTACCATTTTGGGATTTTCATTCATAGTTTTTCTACACTAAGCCCCAGGAAGTGAATTGTATTCACAAAAGTTTGCATTGAACATTTGATTTTTAGTGGTCTAAATAAAGGTATCACCTTTTCCACATTTGGATCGTGTAAAGGGCCATACGACGCTCTCTGTTGTTTTGTTTATTGTGGGCACAGTTTTTCATGCTCTAATGACAACAACGCTTTGAGATTACCAACATACATTGTGTGTGGAACTGCATTTTCAGATCATTCAGAAATTGTACTTGGTCCAAAATATACTCAGCAAATTATTGTCTGGGACCAGGCCAATGAGCAATATGTTACCTCTTTTAAAGGAGATGCATTGGGTCTCTAATAATGCATGGGAAAATTGAAGGCAGCAGAAAAAGAGGAAGATTAAATGGAAGATGCATGAACCTAATAAAGCTAGCTAAAGCCTTGAGTCTGCAATTACTGAACAGGGCTGTTAATGATAGGATCTTTTGGAGGTTACTGATGCATGGGGTCACCGTAAGTCAGAAGCAACATGACAGTATATGACAGTACTGGCTCTCATACTTGTTGCCCTGGCTGTCTGGTTATTGAATACTATCTTCATTGTCATTGAATGTATTATCCCTATAATTAAATTGTAAACTGATGAATGAATGAATCACAGATGCCTAGATCAATTTATTTCTAACTTGAAAATAAGTTCATCTGGAAGATCATGGGGCCATTTTGAATCTGAACATATGGGCACAGCAGCTATTAGCTGTGCTCTACACATAAATTGCATAGTCTGCATAAGAAAAATAGAGCATGCTACTGAATCTACTGGTGTATCCTGATAACTAATACGACTTGGGCCAAAGGAGAACCACCTTCATATTTTAAGACAGATATTATCATGAGGTAACACAAATCATAGAATTTATATCACACTGGCTGATATTCTGTTGTTTATCACAGTAAGTTGTATAAGAGTAGGACCACTGAATCAATAGGGATTTGGTGAGTTAACTCTGCCATATGTTTCATTGATTCAAATGGGTCTACTCCATTTGTGACTTACTATACTATGGTAAAGAGGAGTTGACTGAACAAGTCCCCACTGACTGAACAGGACTACTCTAGCTAAGTTACAGGATTTTATTTAAATATAGAGAGAATTTTTAAAAACCCCACAAAAGCTGCATTTTTCTCAGGGTCAGACTGAGCCCCCTGAGCAACCTACTGTATATTGTACTGCTACCAAGCAGAGCAACATTCTTGGTAGACTAGACTGCTGTCTACCCTACACTCCACAACAGGTTTCACTGGGTTGCACTCAAAAACCTCTGCTGGTCCAGGATTGGAAAGAAGACTTCATTATAAATCTTGTCTGTGATTTCTGTTTGCAGGAAACGTTGTTCTTTTAATATGCCACAAAAATGCACCCTAGGTACAGGAGGCCTTTTGAGGAGGAGAACCCTGCAGCCCTTTTGACTGCGAAAAAACAATGGGGCACTAGTGACCTGGGGAGAGCAAAAGGAGGAGACGTGAAAGAAGATGCTATGGAAGGCTTATAGTCAGACATCTTGATTGTCTCCCATATTGCAGGGGAAAACCCAGTTGCATAATGTAATGTTGTGCAACACAAGGTAATTTAATTTCAGAAAAGAAGTCAGTCAGAGAGAAAGCAAGGGAAAGAAAGTTTTGAAAATTCTAAAAATAATATCTACAAGTGAACCTACCTAATAGCATTTCATCAAAGCTGGATTTTGCTTCAGGATGTCTCAGCAAAGACTTCGGTGTGAAGATAATTAGCTGCAAAATATTCATTATGAGAAATCTGAGCATGTTTCGATACCATAAGCAGGAAGTGATGCTGACTTCTATAAAGTGCATAGAAATGAACCAGAATACAATATTCTTGTCTAAAATTTCCTCTTATTAATTTCTTCGACTTTTATACCACTCAAGTGGTGCAAGACACCACTCCAGGTAGTTAAAGACAGGTAAGGCTAATGCAATATATAACAATAGAAATAAAAAATAAAAAATAAAGAAAAAAATAATAAAAGCAAAACAAATCAATGAACAATATGAAACACATACACTAAGAGCATCAAGCAATAGTGAGACAAGCAGTGCAAATTTGGTAAGAGTCTTAGTTCTAACAGAATCAATGGAGATATGGGCTCTATCTTTAGAAGCTTCTGGAAATCACAGCCTGCCATAATTTCTCATAGAAGCCAAAAATAATAAACCATTATCCCCAAAGAAACAGCATGTGTTTAATTTGGAAAAGACATGCAACAAAAAACTCCACCAGCAGTTTTTGGAAGCTATGGTCCTCCTCATACAGGATTTTTAGCCTACAACACAACACCCCGATGAATGGCTATACCGACAGGGGTTACTAGAGTCTGCCAATATCCAGAAGGCTACAGCTTCTCCACTCCTGGACTACTACTATTTCCTCACTCCTCATATTTCTGACCCACTGAAAAAAATATATAATTATTTTCTCACAGATTTTGAGTGTATTTTTTTCTAAGCTGCTGGGGAAAAACAGCCTAAAACATTTTCAATAAGGAAAATAAAATTATTAAAATTATACATAGATTAATCCACAAAATATAAAACTGCCTAGGGACTATGTAAACAAGTGCCTTTATTATTCCTTTAGCATAGGCTTCATCATTCATCCTACCACACAGAAAAAGCCTGCGATTTAATCGGAACAATGTTCATCTACTTACAGGCTTTCTAAATGGCAATAAGATCTGTCTTCTGAGGACATGGAAGTAACTGGCTGGAGTTGAACAGTTCACCACAATCCAATTGCAGTCAAAGAGCTGGGAAACCTCAAAATCATTATCAAATTTCTGAAGGAGACATCAGAAAAAGAGGCATTATGTTCATTCCATATATTACGACCATTTAACTTCCCTATCCTTTTATATTTGGATAAAAACAAATGGCATTAGCACAAGTTTGGAAATGTCAATGTCAAACCAGTTTACTTAAGGATATGAAACCAACTATTTAAGAATACCTTCCATCATAACCCTATCTAAGCTAGGGAAGACTACAAGATATACACATACCTCTGTGAATGTTGAATCTGTACCTTAAATTTAATCAAGTCAGGTTGAAGAGGAAAGAAAGTGCAAAAATTCTTCACTTTAAATGTAGTTTAACCCTCCATCAACAGATGTCATTAAATACATCATGACAGCATTGAGGGGAATTTGTCAGCCAATTTTGCGCCAATTGATGTTCTAGGTGGCCTTCAACCTCAGTAACCAGAGAAATGTAATGTGATATTTTAGGAGACTTTCTTCCTAATTAAATAATAATTTAAAAGCTTTCTTATTCCTACATCTTTGTTGATAGATTTATTCCAACAGCAATAACAAGGCTAAAATATCATACAAATAAGATGCCAGGAGTAAAAATGAAATGAAATGTTTGTTTATAATTACTAGAAACATGACAGATCTATAGCTGCTTAGCCCAGTATTAAGTTTGTTTCCATACCTTTTATACCTACTTCATATGATATGGTAATATCGTAATGTGTACTTTTATGCTTAAAGAACTGTGTGATCAGTCAACCTGACATACTATTTCTATAGTTTTTGTGATTTCCGCTATTGACCATAAAGATTCAGACACAACTGCATGATTTTACAGAAAAAACAAAGATCTCAGTGATGGCATCACTGTTTCTTTCTTGCCTAAGGTAGTACTCTGTTAGGATGCTTATAACTTAGTATATATATTTTTCTTTTTTTATATATGTTTTGCTGTTTTTGTACCTTTATTGGAACATTTGGATATTGGTCTATGACCGTATTAAACTTGATCTCATCTGATCTTTCTTGGCAATATTGTCATGCTTAATAATTTCCACCTCATTTTTTATTGGTATGGCTTTCAAGTAAGAATAATGGCTATCAATTCACACATCGGGTTTTCTAAACAAGAAGTAATGGCCCTCAGTTTCCATATTTGATACTCAAATTGATTATCTTTATCTCTTGTTTGCAAAACTGTTAAGTGCATATATCGTGTTGCTACATAAATACTGTTTCGCTTTCCTGGAGTAATTTTGACCCCAATTCCATGTTTCCCCGAAAATAAGACAGGGCCTTATATTAATTTTTGCTCCAAAAATGCATTAGGGCTTATTTTCAGGGGATGTTTTATTTTTTTTTTCATGTACAACAATCTACGCTTTTTCAAATACAGTCATGTCATTTTCTGGTTGCTGCACAGGGTGGAGGGTGGGCTTTCACTTAACTGGGGCTTATTTTTGAGCATCCTGAAAAATCATACTAGGGGTTATTTTCAGGTTAGGTATTATTTTCATGGAAACAGGGTATCAGATTCGTACAATTAATCTTTCTATTGATGGAGGATTAAAATAACTATCCCGCAGGGAATATTACCAAGATGAATAACATGGGGATCGAATCACAAGTGGCTAGTGGAAAGGAAAATCAATAGATCTACTTACTGGGAAAGCATCAGGATCATCATTACTCATCTGAAGGAACCTCTCTGGTCTAGCTGAAGAATGTTCTGGGCCCTGATAATTGTATCAGTTACAGAAAAATTCAGTTAGAAGTCTGTGGACAATCTGGATCACAAGTATAATTGTCAATCATACAAAAAATTACCGGCTATTTGCCAAGCAGAGTGAAGTACATGAGCCCACATCACCTAGTCTCAAAGTGTTCCAACACAATTTAAATAAAGTTCCTTTCAAAAAAAGGGATATCATGTGCCTGAATCTGAATGAGCTATATATAGAAGTTGAACTATAAATTAGAGTTGTTAACATACAGAAGAAACAAATTAATGATCAAGTACCAATATCACACTTCTGCCTCACAGAAAATGCTACACCATATCCAGCACAGATTTAGTAATACTACAACTTATTGCCACAAAGATATATCATATCAAGGAGAGCCAGTGTGATATAGTACAGTGGTCCCCAACCTTTTTGACACCGTGGACTGGTTGGGGGAGTATGGGGTCTGTGTGCTTGTGCGCATGTGCAAAGGGGCGGGGTGTTCACACACATGCGCGAAGGGGCAGAGTCGCTTGGGGGTAGCGTGCACACACTCACATACATGTGTGAAGGGGTGCACTTGCGGGCACATTCACGTGCATGCACGAAGGGGCAGGGGCGCTTGCGGGGGCTCGCACACATGTGTGCAGGCACAAAGGGACTGTGCAGGGAGGAGTGCATGCGGGGGATGGGTGGGAGATCTGTCTCCATGGCCCAGTGCAAAGGGGCTGTGCAGGGAGTAGTGCATGCGGGGGGTGGGTGGGAGATCTGTCTCCATGGCCCAGTCTGGCCCAGGCTACGGACTGGCACTGGGCCACGGACTGGACGTTGGGGACCCCTGGTATAGTGGATAGACTAGTGGACAGACTCAGGAAACCTAGCTTCAAATCCCTGTAGAAACCCATTGGGAGGTGGTGCAGGTAAAGATAGACTAGTGGACTAGGACTCAGGAGACCTAGCTTCAAATCCCTATAGAAACCCATTGGGAGGTGGTGCAGGTAAATCCACTCTTTAAATATCTCACTTATCTTGGGAACCCAATTAGAATCACTACAAATCAGATGTGTCTTGACAACACATAATAGCATATGTATGAAGCAAACTGTGAATGCATATTATTATTGAAAAATAAATCGCATTGTGATCAATGAGTTTCTTCACAAGTGTGCAGCATAGACTTTGGGGGTTCTTACTTCCCATTACCACGTTTATTTATTTTGAAAGCTCCACCAAAAGAGCTTCTTTATACAAGAAATCATATTTTATACATAAAGGCCTGCAGTTGTGAAAAATAGTTGCTTTTTGCAGTCTGTAGGCTACAAGTACCAGCACCAATACCCTGTACTTTGTATGGACTCCAGCAGCTCCTACTACTGAAGTGTGTGTCTGTATAGCAGCATGAAACAGTTGTATTTTTACCATGAAATATGTATTTCTACCATCAACTATTGCAAGTACCAACATGCCTTCTATTCAACTTGATTAACCCTTCTGTAAGCAATACCCATCTGCAAAACAAGACATAAATTCCTTGTGCATTTAGTTTTAAAGGCAGGTTATAACTTTTTCATTCCCATTTCAATCACTACATTTCATTAGTGAGATAGCAAAAAAACTACACACAAAAACCCAAGACCCAAATATGCTTTTAAGACAAACTGTTCATTCCACAACTGCCTTGCTTTCGTATGAACTAGGAACCCCAGAAGCATTAGTAATCTTCAGCAAGAGGTGTGTTCTGCATTTCCCTTCGCTCAAAAGGAAATCACATCCTTCTTTGCCCCTTTACTGCCACAGCAGTGTGATGGTGGTGGTGGTGGGTTCAATCCCAATGCTGTCAAACCCCCATGAAAATTGCCCTCTCCTGCTTCATGCACACTGAGCACTAATCTTCTCATTGTTGAATGCCTTACCATTCCTTCCATTCCATGAGGCAAAAGTAGGACAATCCCGTTGTGACGAACCCACTTAGCCTGTCCTGAGCTGATAAACTGATCAATTATACACTGTGCTGTATTTTGAAAGTCACCAAACTGAGCTTCCCAGCACACCAGAGCATTGGGACTTGACATTGCAAAGCCAAGCTCAAATCCTAAGGAATGAAGAAAAATATATAATTAATACATTTGACATTAAGTCATATCACACACTCTTTCTATTGAATATGATGTAGGACAACTCTACTGCATACTTTAGTCTTTGGAACCATTACAGCAAACCTCTAAACTGAAAACAGAAGGTCCAAGGAAACCATACTATACAACTTTACCTTCTTTTCCTCCTTTTCTCTTTCATTTTTAAAAAGAAAATAAAAGAAACAAATACTGTAATGGCCCTCATAGGTAAAAGGTAAAGGTTCCCCTTGACAATTTTTGTCCAGTTGTGTCCAACTCTAGGGGGTGGTGTTCATCTCCGTTTCCAAGCCATAGAGCTAGCGTTTGTCCACAGACAATCCTCTGTCGTCACATGGCCAGCGTGACTAGACACGGAACACCATTTACCTTCCCACCGAGGTGGTACCTATTTATCTACTCGCATTTTTGCATTTTGCATGCTTTCAAACTGCTAGGTTGGCGGGAGCTGGGACACGTGACGGGGGCTCATTCCGTCGCATGGATTTGATCTTACGACTGCAGGTCTTCTGACCTTGCAGCACAGAGGCTTCAGAGGTTTAACCCGCAGTGCCACCACGCCCCTTATAATGGCCCTCATAGCACTTCACACATTTGAAAAGCTTTGTTGACTAAAGGAGAAAAGATTAGAAAAAATGTTCCACTCCACTTTCATTTAAATAAAATCTGTCTCCAATCTCTTTCCCTTTCTGTCCTTCCATTTTTACTCAGTGAATAAATTCTGTTTCCACACATAGTCTCCAATTCATTTATTTTATTCAAAAAACATCCTGTCTTTTGGCTTGAAAGCTCTCAAGGTAGTTCTCAAAACAAAGTCAAAACAGAAGGGGGGAAAATGAACAGCAGACAAATCAACATCAGACAGCAACAAAAATATTAAACACAGAAATTAAAAACAATATAAAATGCATTCTAAATACCAATAAAAGCTTGTTATCAGGAAAAACTTTGTTTGGTGCCTAATAGATAACTATCTTCTATTATCAGAAAGGAACTGTATCTCAGCAACACTGCACTAGGTTCACATGCAAAAAAAAACAAAAAAACAAATTTGATCCAGTCATTTCAAGCAAGGTTAATCCTAACTAAAAACCTGGATAGCCACTGCCAGTTGATGTAATATTGCAATAGATAGTTCAACAGTTTAAGAAACCTCTATAAGTTTGAATTTACCTATAAATGTACTGGAAACCACATTGTGGCTTTACTAGAATAGGGATAACTACATCTAGGGAGGATGGCTCTCTCCAAGAAGGCAGCACTAGCCACAGCTAGTGAAAGGCACTGCTAAGATAGGGTGTATTCAACTGCAAGATCGCAGAGCAAATCTCCTCACCCCCATTATTACAGTCTTGATCTTGAAGAGGGTATGCAATGCCACCAATCAGTTCAAATTATATTTCCCTGATCTATCATTAACTAATAGCACCTGCATCTCAACTGTTCTGAACTTGTTTGGTAGCCATCACATTTCTAATTCTAAGCACCTGCTCCAAGCTTCCTTAGCTATATCTGAATTAGAGGAAAAGACTGAACTTATTATCACTTAACACAGTGGCATTTGTATACTGATTGCATCCAGCTCCAAAACAGAAGGTCTACATAGATACAAAAGTCACAGAGACAAAATGGGATGATTTATCAACACTGATTTCTTTTAAAATGCTACCAGTGGATCCACCATAATTCAGAGTTCCTATATCCTATCAAAAGATAGAAAACGTTGCTTTCCACTAATGCAATTGGAAGACAAATTTCCCTATGATACAAATAGCTTGGGTCTTAATGAAAACATTTTCTTTCGTATAGAAGTATGAAAAGCTATAAATAATAAATGCTTACTGCTCAGAAGATAAAAATAGTAAGAATAAAATACTTAACATTTAATAGCATTGAATGTTGCAAGCATTCCCCCTACATTATCTCAGTAATCTTTTACAATGGCTGTGTAAGCAGGCCAGTATTATTAACCTATAGCAAGAATGAAATATTATGGCTCAGACTCTTAGCAACTGCATTAAAGTTCTGAAAACAACTATTAAACTAATTTGAAAAAGTCTAGACCACCATATTAATGAATAAAAACGTCATTTCTGGAAATAAATCCCATCTTTCCTCAGTTATGTCTTTATTTACCACTTTCAGCACAGATATTTTTTAAAGAAACCCATGCCAAAAATTGTTTTGTATTCCTACTACTTTTATCATCCCTTAAATAGAACCCTTTGCTATGTATGTGCATGTTTTTTTCAGTATCTAAACAAAATATTCCCCCGTTCTATTAAAAGAAGTCTAGATAATTATTTAGCAAAATGTCACTTCTATAAGAGGGATTAGGACATTAAATACTTGGTAACAAAAAATAGAAAACCTAATATCAAATGTAAATTGACTACCATACTATAGATCTTGTATAACAGTTCTGCTGCAGCAAATTGATAGTAAATAGCTGCAATAGCTGTAATCACTAGCCTGTTCTGTTGTCCCACTCCAGCATAGCCAGAGAATTCATGAAAGTATAATTATATATAATATTCTCCTGGATTCTTTTTAATTATCCACCTTTAGGTAGCTATTAGACAAAACATCTCTTCTTCCTTATCCCTCATGTTATCCTTTTTCCTGTATTAGGTAAAGGTTCCCCTTTGTCCAGTCATGTCCATCTCTAGGGGGCAGTGCTCATCCCCATTTCCAAGCCATAGAGCCAGTGTTTGTCCGTAGACAGTTTCCGTGGTCACGTGGCCAGCGCGACTAGACATGGAACACCGTTACCTTCCCACCATGGTAGTACCTATTTATCTACTTGCATTTTACACGCTTTTGAACTGCTAGGTTGGCAGGAGCTGGGACAACAGACAGGAGCTCACTCTGTCATCTGGATTTGAACTGCTGATCTTTCGACCTTGCAGCCCAGAGGCTTTGTGGTTTAACGCGCAGCGCCACCACATCCGTCCCCACCTGTATTATATTACTTGCACTTAAATAGCTCAGGAGACAGGCAAGAGCACAAGCATTTCTAGAGCACCATGAAAACTATCATGCAATTTTGTTCCTTATATAATTTATTGACATGTATAAATTTATAAACATGCATCACTACACTGAAGACCTTCAAGTGAAGTGAGCAAGGCAGATCCCATATTCTTGAGCAATCTAGATAAGTACCTTTAGTTGGGGTATAATATCACATCACATCGGCTTCAATGACACGCTTCCCCATATGCAAAAGCCTTTGTCCAATTACTAAGGACTTTTTTGTCCATGTCTTGTATATTTTTACATCGAAGCCACAGTTCACACAGGAAAGAACAGGTTACTTACCTGTAAACAGAGGACTTTTTTGTCCATGTCTTGTACAGTATATTTTTACATCCAAGCCACAGTTCACACAGGAAAATACAACTTTACTCTCTAGTTAGACAGTCATATTCATCACTTCCTAGAGAAGACAGAACAATCAACACCATGTAGCTAGTGGATTGGGCAAAGGAATTGTGTTCATTCCTGTCCCATTGGTTCCACTGGTTTACTAAGCATGACAATTTTTGCCTTTTTTCTTAGTGTAACGTTCACTGATTAGTACATAAAGGTGTACACAGGTATCCAACTTCAGTGCAGAAACCAATCTGATACTTTGGGATGGATTTGGGCCCAAATCATTCAATCTGTACCATGGACCTGAACAGATTTGTAAATTCAGATTGTTAGCCTCCAATGGAGTTGTACTGGAAAATCAAAATCGCTGTAACTTTTTTGATTCTGTGCTGCTGGAATTTGGAGACACAATAGGTCCTGGAGGGGGTGAAGGGACATACTGAACTACAGACAGCTTCAAAGTGTTGCATTAAAATGTTTTAAAATACAGTTTTGAAAATGCATTTAAATTCAGTGGAAAGTCTTGCCCACTTAGTCTTGCCCACTCCTTTTGCCTGCCACGTCTGCTTGCATAATCCACCTGTTTAAGGAAAGAGAAAGAGAGTGGTGCCAATGCCTTTTTCCCCACTAACATTGCTTTCATGCAGTTGCTGCCGGCTCCTCAGTCAAGCAAATGAGGAATGCCTGGCCTTGAGGCATTAACTCTTAAATGCTGGATTTTCTTCATAAAATTCAATTTGCTGCACTCTCTCATAGAGGAAAAAGGAAGCAGGGATACAGGCTGGGGTAACAACCTTGATCAGAGTGTATATTCACAGAGATTTATTGGAGCATTTCAAAGCATGAAGCAACATCTGGTAAACGTAGCTCCTATGGGACCACTCCCTGGTGAGTGTTTTCAGCTACTGTGGCTGCATTTTGCAGACACTTTCTAGATTTGTCTTTTTGTAGTCACAAAGGCTAAACACACATTATTTCAAGGAAGAAACTGCACGCACACACATACAGAGAGAGTTCTAGAGAATTACTCCCCTTTTGTCTAAGTAAAATTTATAGTTTTTCTATCTAATAAAAGTCTTCATTTTACATCCTTTTGTCAGAAAGGTCAAATGTTTCAAACAACTGACTCCTCTGACCAGCCTGATGCCGCTAGCTCCTGGTTTGTTTTTAATTATTGTCTGAAATTCTGCTGCTTAGCCCAGTAACTTGCACTAGAGTTGGCCCACTGAATCAGTGGGGATCTGGTGAGTCAATTACTCTGTAAATTCCATTGATTCAAATAGACCTACAGTATTCTAACTGTGACTTACTGTGCTAAAGCAAATCACAAGTATAGTAGGCCCATTTGAATCAGTGGAACTTACCGAGAAGTTGACTCACCAAATCTTCACTGATTCAACAGACCTACTTTAGTGCTTCATGAAGCAACAGGATTTTAGCTACAGATTTTAAACTGTAGTTCAACATTATAGTCCAATTAAATTCTAAGGTATTACTGTGAATTGAAACATTGCATGTCATCACTGTGAGTGCCTTTGGGCAGAGAAAGTAGAAAGGAGATGCAATAACTTAAATTCTAAGATAA